CTGTTAGATTAGAAACCGGATTTTGGTCATAACTAGCCCACAATGCGTTCGAATTAGGTTTCCTTGAGCTTTTCTGATAGCTGGAAATATACTTAAGAACGCTACGTTCACAGATTTTGTTTATTTTGATCAGTGTTTAATCTGTGTCATCTTGAATACGAGTAAGTCAGGTCCGTTTTGCGATTTTCATCATGCGATCACTGACAGAGCAAATATTCAACATTAAATTTTGTTTTAAACTCGGTACACCTTGTACCGAAACTTTTGGTATATGCTAAGTAAAGTTTACCATGATCATTGCATGAGATGTTCCCACTGTTTTGAATGGGTTAAACGATTCAAAACTGGTCAGGAGTTCGTCAAAGATGAGGAGCATGGGAATCGACCCTCAACGGCAACTGACATTTGTCACGTGGAAGAAGTGCGGGCAAAAGAGCTCGAAAATGGTCGTTTCGAGCTTGTTGAACAGAGTAATATTTTTGAAAACTCTGTACATACAATTTTGATAGAATATGTAGACACGCATCGAGTTTCAGGTACACTTGCCCCTTGATTGTTGTCCGTTGAACGAAAATCCAACCAAATGTCATTTTCCCTTTAGCTGCTTGAACGTTCTAACGATGATCCTACATTTTTGGATAGGATAATTTTCGGTGAAAATACTGTAGTGTACGGCTACGATATGGGGACGAAACTCCAATCGTCCTTGTGGGTTGAAAAATGTAGTGCAAGACCGAAAAAAGGGAGACAAGTTCGGGCAAACATAAAAATCGCAAAACACCCTTGAGGTTGCCTTACTTCAAGCCACATACCAACGAAGCTAATTAGGATTTTTCAAATTTGTGAACGTAACGTTCTTAAACATATTTTCAGCTATCAGAAAAGCTCAAGAAAACGTAATTTGGACGCATTGTGGGCTAGTTATGACCAAAATGCGGTTTCTAATCTAACAGACCTCGTAGATATCTCAGAAATAGATAGATCTTTGATATTTTCTCAGATATTTTCCCAATAGATGGTGATATTATTCTCAAAATTTGTGCAGCATTTCTTTAAAAGTTTGAAAGCAGAATGAAGAAAGTCTTTCACAAAAATCCTAAGGAATCTAAGGTTTTATATCTTTTAGCCTTGTAATAATATACAATCAAAATGGACTCTAGGGAAAAAATCTCATTTTACCAAGAAACATCTTGCCTGTAAGGGAATTTTCTTCCACTGACTCTTATAGAGTACCATTATTGAAGATGAACCATTACAGGCTAGGGCTTATTGAGACGGCGGTTTCACAATTCATCATTTTTCAAATTTTTAAAGAGGAAAATTAAAAAAGCATGGAAAAAAAGAACAGTTCAAACGAAAATTTAATCAAAATTAAGATTCTTTTCTATGCATTGGGCAGCGCTTTTAATTAAGGTGCTTTAGTTGCTCCTCTAGAACTCACCTCTCTTCCAATGTGTGAAATTTTCTTAAATCCAGAGATCGAATACCTACAATATCAGTCCTTGACACAGTGAAGCTAATTTTTTCCCTCCTAATATATTTACATGTTTGAAAATATTTGCCAGACATCCTTGGCTATTTTGTCTCTAATTTTCTCAAATTATTTCAGTACCAGATTAATGCCCCAACCTGCCATCCAAAAATAGTCGGCTCCTTGTGAGGGTGTATTTTCTTGCTTTAAATTTTGCAAACATTCCGCAGTCTTCAATATTAGGCAAATTTCTCTATTTGGCCCTCAAATACTTCGGGTGATAATACATTTTTAAACACTCTTCTTATGACACAGTTTTGCTGATTATTTCATAGGTGTTCAGTTATAATTCTACAATTTTCCCTCCCTTTTGTTACAGGAAATCAGTGTTCCATGAAATCCTGGAGCTTGCAGTTGTCGCTGCAGAAGAAGTAGTCAAGGTCTACGAAACCATCGCCCAACAATTTGAGATACTGATTGAAAAATTGAACGAGACCCTTAAAAAATTAGCGCCTCAACTGGTGGAATCCTACGCTAAAATCTCTCAAGGCCTCCTGTCAGCTTTGGAATCAGCCTTAAAGCTGACTGTTCACTACGTAGAAGTTGCTGTTGAATTGTTTAAAAAACTTGAGCCAGAGATAAAGGAGCTCCTGAATATTGTCAACAAGTTTGCTGAAGGTAATTCAAAGTTTAACTGATCAATTTCAAGCAAAATTCCTCTCTGTAAAATTTTCTTCATTGTAGGAACATATGTATTTAACTAGTGGTCACTAGGTTTATGCTATAGGTGGAATGTTGCATTTGTTAATTTTAAAACTCTGCTTCTGTTGCAATCCATTCCTGAAGACGTGTACGCCTATATGTAGTCAAAGTGCGGAACCTTGTATCTCCGTTTGTAACGTTGCATATTTCCTGTCATACTTCATCTTTTCTTTGGAAAACTCATCAACCTAATGTCTATAAAACTTCCTTGATTTTTCTTCTCTGTTAACAGAATAAATTTTAAAAATTTCAAGCTATAAAATTGGCTTGTTTCACTTCAAATAAATAAAAAAGGAGCCAAAATTTTGAAACACTGAAAACAAAACACAATGGTTTGACACTTGGGCCATGGATATGACAAGGCAAATGTGTAAAAAATTATCCGTGGAAGTGTGTGCTGTGTGGTCCTGTAAAAGAGTGGGTAACAAGGCTTACACATGAAGATGAAGATAGGAAAAAAAAAGTATCTTGATGGCAGTGTTTCAAATTATTGGCTTTTTTCCAATGTTTTACTAGGAATATAATGCAATATTCTTGCATGAATTGTTCAAATAATATTTTTGAAAAACCAAAAAAATCATACAAAATTTCGATGATACAAGATTTCGATTTTGATGTGTGTTTGTTCTTCAGAAAAGAAACGTATTGCAAGTAATGGGAGTGATGCATACAAAGAAAATTCTTTTTTTGCTGTTCCATCATCGCTATGTGCTCTAAACTATTCTACCACTGTATTTTCCATTCATACCCTACTTCGAAAGGAAGTACTATATTGCTGAAACGAAAAACTCAGATCTGCAATTAACATTGTACTCTTACGCAAATTAACCATTCATAAAAAAGTCGTTACACTTTTATTGCTGTCAATTTTAACAGCGTTATTTTCAAGATGCAATGTTTATGTAATTATCTTCATGACAGATGAATATTTACTCTTCAATATATAAGAAAGGGCATTTAATCTCTAGAAACTCATTGAATGTATGTATTAATCGCTTTTTCAGATATTGGAAAAGTCATTTCAAAGGCTGTTGCGCAAGTTGATAAGGAAGTTCGTAATTTCATCCACCAATTGGTTGAACAGGTCAAGAATTTGCCAGTCTATGGAATGTTGAGGGAAAAATGGGAAGAGGTAAGTGTTGTCTTTTTTTATTTTACTTAAAAAAATTAAGCCTGCTCTTTTTTAACTCATTTTGCTTTGAGTGCATAACTGTGCAAAAATAGTCTGAGATAAATAAAAATGAGACATCCCAGCTAAGCTGCATCATTGCACTTTTTGCTGAAACTGTAAGGCCTTTGATGTTTGCACGTTTGGGAGGACACAACTCTTATAATTATACGCTGAACATTTTTAAGAACATTAATTCCGCATCAACTGGAGCACACAATCATAAGTTTTCCCATTTCTTCCCTCTTTTTTCTTTTCTCTCTTTTTTTCGTCATATTTGCCGAGGCACCGCACTCAAATGAGCGTATTTTATAACCACTACTACTTTCTTCCTCTTCTTTTCCTTGTTGTTAAGGCTGTCTCCAAATAAATGTATCATCTCTTTCTCTCTCTCCCTTTCTTTCTAGCTGTGGTTATAATCAAGTGGCAAGTGGGTTTTTTCTTTGTAATTTTATCCCCCTTGCATTGTAGTTTTGCCACATTTTATTGAAATTAATGATATTATAAACATATTTCTCTTTTGTACAGCTGCAGAAGTCGGAAATTCCAGAAAAAGTTCTGAGTGTTCTCCATGAAGTAGCACAAGCTCTGAAGGATTCAGTGCCAACCGAAGAACTGAAAAAATTAATTGAAGACCTTGAGAAATTCATCGAAAAAGTATGTACACCTTTTTTTGTTGCCAGAGTAAAATAATTGTCTCATCCCTTGGTGTTTCTGAAGGAGCTGATTACTTTTTTTTAACTAATGCAGTGAACTATGAAGACATGTAAAAAAGTGTGTTTTCTATCTCTGTTGTGCTGTTGCGCTGTTAATGTAATAAACAGTGCCAATGTTGAATGTCTTAAAATGGAGAGAGTTTTTTCGGTTCTCATGTTACAGTCTTCAGTGAATTCCCCTCTTTCAAATTATATATTTTCTCTAATCAACTTAATTCATATTTCTCTTCCATTCAGATCAGATTTGCTCTCAATAAATGATTATTTATCATGATTTTTATGAAGTGTTCCTATGCAACAATGCACTAAAAGTTTGAAGAGAAGATTTTTGAGTGGATACTCTATTGTTCTCGTATTGGCATTTCACCTTTTTTCCCTCTTTTTCTCCTTTTCATTTGAATTCTTCCGTTGTATGATGGCTGTGTTTATTTTCCTTGCAGATTTTAAGACGTAAACCTGTTGACAATGCTGCTGAATTTAAAATTTTAATGACGGATGCTCAAAATGCTCTGAAATCAATTCTTCCGCTGTTGCCCGTAACACAACCATTAGAAACCACTGGCTTTCTCTCCAAACCTGGACCGATGGTAAATTCTTTCTGATTTAATCTCTTAATATTAATTTCTAATCTCACATTTACTTTAATATCACTCCCTTAATTAGTCTCTTTTAATTTGATTGATAATTCCTTAACTTGCTTGTGTGTCAATATTTTATTTTTTTCATTTGACAAATGTTTTTTTTAAATCTGACTGAAAAACTCCCTCAGTTCTCTTTGAAAAAAATTTTCAAAAATAAGTCTACTCTCTAAAAAAACTTCTCTTGTAAAGCACTGGATTTACCTGCCTTGCTCTGAAGGAAAACAGTATCGACCAAATTTTTAATATCAAGTCTCAAAAAATCTTTCATATTTCAATCGCTAATAAAATTAATTTCTTAATTTTTCAGATACCGTTACCATCATTCGAGCCTCTCTCTAAATTGCATCAATACACAAGCTTCTCTTTCAGTCCAATCCAGTATCTGAAATCTGCAGATCTACCATCTTTAGGCAGTATTGTGCAAGGTCTTCAGCCACTCTCTCTCAACTACAAACATTTCATCCCACCACATGGCGGTAAGCTGCATAATATGAATAATTCAACACTTCATTCAATTTTGAGCTATTAACAGTCAAACACAACCATTTTCTACTTTCTTGTGAAATCTTCTGCAAAAATAGACGTAGGACCCAAATCTTTCCAAATTATAATGTTTACTTTTTTGGTAAAAAATGACTCCTCCTTGTAATACATTAATTTTTGGGAAAGGCATTATGGAGGAGTAAAATTTAAAAGGAGCATCAGTAAACAATTTTATCCATGTAAATAAGAAAATATTTGTTTGCTATTTTACAACTTTCTGTAACATTTTTCATTTTAAACCAGGGAAATCAGCTTATAGTTTTGCATGAGTTTTTCTTTAAATACGCTCAAAAACTTCTCAAGCAACAATTTAAGGCAGGAGTAAACATTTTAGAAAACTACCATTCGTTACATTCTAGCTAAGGCATCACAAGGGCCATTTACTCTTAGATGCTATGTTCCCCGGATAAAACAATTTTTTTCAAATTTTTTTCTTTAAAACTTTTGTGCATGTTTTCATGAATATTTTAGGGATTAATCTTAATGACAAAATAATTATTACGTACAAGTTTTAAGTGATTCTGTTCAAAAGTTTTTTGGGCAAGATTGAAAAGTTTGGCAATATACTTAGTTCTTAAGCACAAATGATGCTTATGATACCTCGGCTAGAAAGTGACAAATTGAGGTATAGTTCCTTAAAGTTTGTGATTGTTGCTTTGTACCTTATGACGTAGGTTACTAAGTAGCAAAATATTATGACTAATTCGTTTTCAGGATGGGGAATACTTGTTGACGGAGCTCACTTCTTCACATTTGACAAGAGGCATTACACATTCAAAGGCACCTGCTCATACGTACTTGCCCAAGACTACAAGGACAGCAACTTCTCATTATCAGCTGATCTTGACTCTGGAAAATTGAAGGCTCTCACTTTGAACAGCGGCAAAGACTCCCTAGTTATGCTTGCTGATGGAACGGTAAGCAGACTGACTTAGAGCACAGATGCCTGTCTGAGGAAGACAAATAAGTTTCATCAGAGGCCTTTCATAAAATATGTAATGCTGTAAGGGGGAGGGCGATCCAAGCCTGTGTTATGGGTGCCTTAAACAGGGAAAATTCATATTTTAATCATAGAGTACAAGAAAGTCGCAATGTACTGGGGCACCGATGAAGTCAATCCATGAAAGGACCATTCCAAGCCCCTTGTTCGCCGGAAAGTTGGAACCTTCTGGGAACAGTTCGGCATTTCTTAACACAATAGCGAATGGGAGAATCGCGGGCTACTAGTGGTTTTCGGGATTTATTCATTCATATTAATCATTATTTCAGCAAATTTTGGCAGATTGTGTTTACTGAAGTCACAACAAATTAAAAAATGTACAACACTCCCAGTTTTTATGAAAGAAATTTTATACCTGTATTTTCTGAGCAAAGACTAGAGCGGGGACCCCGCGCATACAGCATCGCTAGTTGCTGCACACTAGTTTCAGGAATACCGGACAAAACTGACTCATAAAGTGACTTCATCGGCGCTCCAGAACATTGCAACTCTATTTTACTCTTCAACCTCAACTGATCTTAATGCAACTAGTCTGTGTCTCATGTCTGACAGATTAAAACCATCATTTATCGCTCTCTTGTACTGACAGTTTGGTTTAACAGCTTTGGGTTTAATGTGAGTAAAATTTCCCTAAAACACACCTCAGTAGAATGGTAGAAGCAACTGAAATTTCAGTTTTCTCTCCACATAAGTTCCTTTTTTCTGGTTGTTTACAAATAAGATTGATATTTTAAAAAAATATTTTTTCATGATGATTAACATTTGCATCTCTATCCTGATACTAAATTCCATTTTTAAAATTTTTCAGGTCCAGTTGAACGGTAAACCCTCTGAATATCCTGCCTTCTCTGGAGAGTTGTCTGCATGGAGGCGTTACCATACCGTAAACATGAGATCCAATGCTGGAGTCATGGCTGTCTGCAGCCTAAATCTTGATGCTTGTGCTTTCCACATTTCAGGCTATTACTTCGACAAAGTGCGTGGATTACTCGGAACTTTGAACAACGAAGACTATGATGACTTCACTCTCCCCAACAACAAGGTTAATTTTTACTTTCACCTCAAATTTTTCTCTTATACTAAGAAAGCAAGTAGACCGAATCAAGCAGAAATAAACCATCTTGCCGAACTTGCCAACTTGAAGAACTTGCCTTACGTGGGTAAGGCAAGTTAGAAATTGCATTCTTACATTGGAGTAATTTTGGGCCTATTCGTACATTTTCTTTCTTCAAAAATTCATCGTTAAGTAAGAATATTTCGAATTTTAATGAAGTAATATTTTCAATTATTTTGATGCGGCTTCGTCTTTTCCTGCCAAATTCTATCCAAATATGCGCTAATCTCATCTCTCCCCTATTGAAAACTGATTCAGGTTTTACAAATCTTTCAAAATGATGTTTCTTTTTATACTTGTCAAACATTCAGGGGAACTGATTAATAGTAGAACCTCTATTATCTGTCCCAACAATGGGGCTGAGCTAGATAACAAGAAGTCTAAAGAAAGGAAATGGTCACGATCCCTGCTTTTTGGTGTTTTTGATAGAGTTTAAGTTCTTTTTCCTCCAAATACCATTAGCATAGAACTCACCGTATTGAATATACTTTCAGAATTACTCCAACTTTTATCCACAAGTCCGTAATTTTTCTCATCTTAAACATTGCATTACTTGAACAAACCAAATGGTGAAATTGCAGCTTAACGCTGTAAGTTAGCAAAAAATTCCGGTAAATTAGCTGTTGCATGCATTCAAACAATGGTTTTTTCAATTTTGAAATTTAAATTTTTTTTCACTGCAAATGTATCAGCAATGTCTTATTATTTATTTTTCCTTTATTAGATATCTACTGAAGCTGCCAAGTTCGCAAATGCGTACAAGGTTGGATCCTGTGCTGATGCGCCTGAGTTTGTTCACCAACATGCCTCTCAAAGTAGTGAATGCAATGCTTTCTTTGCATCGGATGACGCCTCTTTGTTGTAAGTTCTAAACTTTTGAAAGAAATTTAATGATTGACATATTGTTATTATTGTCCTATGAGTATGTGCTTTGGGTTCTAATGGCCCATAAATGTGCCAGCCAAATTTGTGTAGCCAATAAATGTTAATCACAGTAGCAAAGCACTGCCAATTCCGTAAACTTTGATATGTATGCAAAAGTTGAGTGGATTTTGTAATGTGACGAAGGCCCCTCTTTGAACATTGTTGGTTCTCCTGTGGGAATTCTTACATCATCTTACAGAAGGAAGTTGTACAAATTTTGTGGAACAAAACCTAAGAAACACAAAAAATGGTCAAGACTTTGAAATATTTTTATTATTTGTGAAAATGTGTATTTTTTTAAAATGAGTGTAACATTTGTAAATATGTGTATAATTTGCAAATGTTTGAACTATTCTGTTCTTCGTTTAGGTTACTTGAAAACGTATTGCTCGAAAATATTTTTACTCTTCTTCATTATTTGCAGTTTTGCAGTTGGATTATTTGTTTTTGGAGAAATCATAATTTGAAATCGATTTTTTTGTTTTCACTTTGCATTCAAAATTCAAATTCCTGTATGAATGGAATATCTAGTGAGGAAAACAAGTCGTTCTCTCTGATTGAATCAATCAATTTTTTTCAGAGCCTGTAAACCATTCGTAGACACTGCTCCATTCCGTGAGGCCTGTGAACACTCCGTCAGCTCAGCCACCGACAAAAATGCAGCTGCTTGCAAGATTGCTGCTGCATATGTGGGTTCCTGTTTCGAACGGAACATTCCAGTCGAGTTACCTGAAACTTGTGGTGAGTAAGACGTGTACTCTGTTCTTTTAACGTTGAACCAGGACAAATCCGTCAGGAGTTAGAGAGCCTCTATAAGTGTAGTTTACTTCAGAGTTCCCAAAATCAGGGAATACCAGGAAAACAAGGAATTGTGAGGGAAAAATTGTTTAGTCACCTTTATTTTCTTTCTAGGATAGGTTTGATGTTTCAAACGACAAATTTTGCATGAAAACTATCTCCAATCATGTCTTTTTAACCGTCCAGCGTATCTTCAATTATCAGGGAATTGCATTCTATGGCAGCCGTTATTCGGGGCTCAAAATAGTTGGATTAGCGTGCAATTTTACACTGTCATGCTCTTCATCAACACAAAAATGAGTTGGGATATCAGAGAATGTTTTTGGTTGAAAAATGAAATTCAGACTTCTCAGCCCACCTTAGGAATCTTTCTCCCAAAAAATTGATTTCCGAATATTTGCAATAGAAAGGGCAATAAGGGCATTCCACCACCAGGACATTTACATTTAAATTAAATCAATTAGCGGCAGTGAACATGTGAATTTGTCTCTCTTACAGCGCACTCTGGCGCTTTGCGACACCCAAACTCCACAAGTGCCTGTCTCTCCAAAGATCATTGAACAACTGACTTCGTAGAATCCCTTCATTGATTGCTATCCATTGCTATTCATTGCTATTCATTATTGCTGTCCTTTCATATGACATCTGTATTGCCCTCCTCCGGGGGGCACCCAATCCAAAACTTGTTCGAGCAATCTCACCTGCAATATTCCCTGCACGTGTCCATACCACACTAATAGTCAGGACATGACTTCGTGCATGATGTTACCTACTTTTAACCTTCATTATCTCACTAATTTCTTAATTACGGACATGGCTTCTTCTCGAGATGCTGGCTTGAAATCCAATAAATCCATAGTGGCAGTAAATAATCGAAATTTGTCTGTTCATATCTTAGGCACATGCAACATTGGAGGCACTCCCTTACCTATACACCAATCTGTCAGTGTGAAAGTACCACAAAAAACGGCTGATGTAGTTGTGGTGGTCGAGCAGTTGGAAGGCAACCAGCCAATATTCGAAAACCTCTTGACTCCGTTGATCTCCACTCTAACGAGTGACTTCAAGGAAAAGGGCATAACGTAAGTAAATCCTTATTTTCTTTTGGTTGTAAGTGATTATGATTTGTAGCTCAATTATTTGCATTGAGTAAAATTATAAAGGAAGTAAGCCCTCAATTTTCGATGGCAGTCCTGAATTAGCTGTTTTTACTGAGTCGTTGCAAAAGAATACTGTATAGATGAAGATAATTTTAAGAAACATGATTCATTCATCTGGTCCCTATGATCTGAATATATTTTAGTAACCTCTAAGGCTCTTTTCTCAGAAATATGAAATGGTGAAATTCTGCAGAATGTATGAGAGGCTTTTTAATACAAACTTGATAAATTCAATAATTTCAAATATTTAAAGAATTACTTTTTAATATTTTTGTGCCCACTGTTTCTTGTGTAAAAATTCATTTTTTGCCAAACTCTTATTCAAATATCAAGAATGCTGGCTTTCTTAAATCTGATTGATGAAATTTTGATCATTTTTAGTTTCTACAACATGAATTTAATCAACTCACATTTCGGATGACTCTGATTTGCAATATGTTTGTTTTCTCTTTGCTAAAACCGATGTATTTGAATGTGTGTAGGGATGTCAACTTTGCATTGATTGGTTACACCAGCGTGTTGCACAAATGGCCCATCCATTATTCATCGAAAGGAAAGCTCACCTTTGATGGAAAACCAAAGGTCTTCACTTTTGCCAAAGTTCCTACACCTGAAATGGCTAATACTTTCCTGAAGCAGTTCCATCAGTTTATAAAAGCAGCGTACTTAGAATTGAGTGAGTAGTAATGCTTATATTTCCTAGATAATTTAGTGGGGTTTCACAGCATGTGTTTCCAATTGTCAGAAGTAAGTGGAAATAATTAAGAGAGGAAGAAAGTTGTTCGTCAAACTTTACTTACTGTCTACATGACAGGATAAAAGCAAAACATCAACACAAAATATGTTTAACATATGTGTAAAACATTTCTAGAATCAATTCATAAACAAGAAATTAGTGTATCATGGTATTGCTTAGACATATGTCCGACCTTGAAGTTTCAATTCTTCATATGGCAGATTGATAAATGTATTTGTGTATATACTCAACTCCCTACGTGGAGATTCTACTTACATTGATGTCTCCCTGTATTTCAATTTATTTCACCTTTTAATTCGATCTCCTTTCTTTCTGCAGGAAAGACTGATTCATTTACTGCTCTCTATGAAGCATATGAGTATCCATTTAGAGCAGATGCCGTCAAAGTTATCATCCATGCCGTTGCCAATCCTGAAAGACACTCGCCGTCTTACTACCCCACCTCTGTAAGTCATCCATTTTTTGTAATAAATTCACCCACTTATGTATTTTGCCTCTTTAGTCACTGACTACAAATGAAAAAAAAAAACACTAAGAAGTAGCCCGAACTGTATGTAACAAGGTGGAGAAATGGTGCTAGATCCACACCATTTTGCGGGGAAAGCAAAGCCAAGAAATTCCAAAAATTAAAATTAGAGTCAAAATTAAATTTTTTGAACTCTAATGCGTTACAGTACCAAATCCCCCTCAGTTTTGTACTGGAACGCATTAGAGTTCAAAAAATTTAATTTTGACCATAATTTTAATTTTTGGAATTTCTTGGCTTTGTTTTTCCCGCAAAATGGTGTGGATTCAGCACCATTTCTCTACCTTGTTTCTGACTACCACTTATCAATGCTGCTGCAACAATCATTTACCCATGATAAGTTATTTTGGGCCCCATTTTGGAAGTTCTCCTCAGCCTTGAGTTTCTCCAAAATGACTGTATAATATGGACTCATCAAAAACATTGTCGGAAAAAAATGAAAAAAATATCATCATGAATTCATCAAAGATTCTGATGATTAAAAAAAATACAATTACAAAGGAAAAAAAATTAATTATTTGAAAATACTTTTCTTCAAAATTCAGGAGATTCCTCAAGATTTTTAAAAGATTTTATCTGAAATTTCAGTGAAATAATGTGTTACTTGATTAGCCGAACGCTCAAGCAGGCGTTTATCATATTTACCTTCCATTTCTCAATCATTATATTCTTCTCTTTTTGCAGACTTTGTACCCATCAGCAGTCGTTGCCGGAATTATTACTCGTGTTTCACAATTCACAAATGTTCTTGTCATTCCAACTCCAGGAATGACTCTCCAAGGTGGACCTGCATCTGATGTGGTCGGTGAGTAACGCTTGCTAATGTTGTTATGGGAAAATTTCTGGAAAAAAGGCTGAAAGAGGCAACTTTCAGATCACTACTGAGTATTTTTTCTCTTTTTTTATCAGACACTAATGAAATACGAAATTCTTCTACGTGACCTTTTTTGTTTGGTATCGCTCATATTATGCAATCTCTGAGCTGAATGACACTGAGGTAGTAGGCAGCTTTGAAGTTTCATTTTTTTTTATTAAATATCAACTGATATTGTAGAAATAACTACCAAAATTTGCAAAGAAAATGGTTTGAAAATATCAACTCAAACATCGTCAAATGTTCATCAGCAACCTTGAAAATTTGAAATTTTGTCCCTCAACGCCTTGATGAGAGTGAGAAAGTAAGGTTGTGTTCTTTTCAGTATTGCATGACTATTGTTGTTGCACTATCCAATAAATTTCTAATTCATTGAATTTATCAGAGAGTAATTATCAAAGCATCTTAACCGAGAACTTGTACATGAAATGCACTCAGTACATTTTTTTTGTATTCCTGTTTGAGCCCAAACACAATGCTGCTTGCATTTTATGTTGTCATATTTTATCGGATCAGCTTTGTAATGATCCGCCTTTTTACGGATCTCTGGAAAATATACACTAGTGATGGTTACACACATTTGATATTTTGTTCTTGTGCACTTATGGAGAGGCAACGCCCTAAAATTTCAAGGTTGTCAATGTTTTTTTTAGAACATTTGAGTTATACTAGCTTTTGAATCCTTTTCTTCGCAAATGTTGGTTTCTACAATTTCAGGTAATATTTCATCAAGTAAAAAATAAAGCCTTATAGCCTTTTGCTGTTCATGGGTGTCTTTTGGATGGAAGACGATACTGTTATGAACTGTGCCAAATACAGAAATGACCTAAAAAACGATAGGGATGTAAAACATGCTTCAGTGGAACAGCCATAGTACATTTTCAGGTAGAATGTATGCATTGCAATTTGGTTTATTGCCTCATTACGAGTCACTTACGACCCCCCTGAAAAAGAGAAAGCACCAGTGGTGTGGTGCGCTTTGCAATATATCAATTGATCTGTCATTTAAACCTATGAAAAAGGATCAACGTACAGGGTGTTTGCCACAAACACCTTTATAATCGACTCTCTATCATGGCTTCAAATGGGGATTTATCGATAATCGATCATTCACGCCTCGCCACTGGAAATCAGTATCATAAAACAGGTGACTAGGCACCTCCAATGGTATGGTGGTATTAAGGTACCTTCAATGGAAAGAAGAGGCACAAATGTATAAAAAAAATCCTGTAATTTCCACAAGACTATATTCCTTTAATTGATACGCAGAGGAAAACTTTACCACCGACAGCAATAATAAAAAATCAGTGAATCCTACGACCTTTGAAGTTATATGATATGTAGAGTATTTTTAGTATTAATCAGCAGATGCAACCATCATAAATCGTGCGTATCTATTATTGCAAACTACTCATTCAGCTGTTACTTGTTTCTAATAGGATTTAACAACAAGGCTGTTTACAAAACCGATGACGCCAAAGCAAGCCCTCTCGTCGGAAACCATGAATTATCGAAAGAGCTTCGTTACCCTCCAGGTGTCTACACTGATTTTACAAGATATGTAAGTGCCTGTTGCATCTTCACTACATATTTTCTTTGGTATTGAACATCTAGTCACCTAATAGGACTTGTTTGCTTCTTTTCATTTTACCTAAAGAACAAGTTGCTATCATACATCCTCCCCCCCCCTTCCCCCTTAATGGCTGATTTTTGAAATATACTGTAGTTAGTCTAGTTTGTTGGTTTATTAAAAGTTATTTTTATCAGACTTAAGTACATTATATTTTTGCCAAAGGCACAGCTGTTTTTTTTTTTTATTTCAAATCCACGTTTGAAATCAGGCCCACCAAGAGCGATCTGTTTTTTCACGTAACTGATCGAACCAATAACTAAGGAGCAGAATAAATTGATTTTTTTGGTCATTATTTTTCTTCAGTAATGATTTTTCGAAATCAATATACTTTGGGAGCATCTCTGCCATTAATTTAAAAATTTGGATGAACATCGTTTGATTTTGCCGAAAAGTTATTCAATTTTATTATATTATTCATGCTTAAAATTGATGTAAGGGTTGTTTCAATCCTGGGTCTTATTTCTCCAGAATTATCACCGATAAATCATATAAAAGGTAAAAAGGTATGTATCTGTCATACTTTCATCTCTGCAACAAGCTAAAGTTGTTAATATCCACTACTTCTTAAACTTGTCAGGAAGTAGAGAGTATGATGGATACATCTCTTTCACATAGTCATAGTTTTAGTCATGGTCAATGGTTTCAGAGAAAGAAAACCAAAAAACTTTCATTTGGAATGACCCTCACATTTAATTGCTGTAAGCTCTTTGCTCAAAAAATCAGGTGATTCAAATTTTAATTTTTCTGTTTTTGCAGGGTGATGGTCTCGTTGTGAGTGCGGATAATTTCATCGCGGCTAAACCAGACGTTCAAAAGCAATCTGTAAAGCTTATCTCCAAGTTCATCGTGCAATCGTCTGCAGATCAAGAACAACACAAGGAATGCAAATGCGTTTTGAAGTATGGACTTTTCCCTGAGACCGAGTGCCATCCAACATTTTTCAAATGAAAAAAGAATGTCTACATTGTAAGTTGGTTCTGTCTCATAAATTTTCTCGCCCTCTTTCTTCACTTATTCTCTAAATTCACTTTTTATGGTTAGGAAGGAAGCATCAGAAACTTAATTCCTTTCAGTTTTTTGAAGGAGTTCATGTATAGAGTATTGGAGAAGTGTATTAGCTAATGTTATATGTATATGGTTAATGTTGTAGTATTCAGACCTTCATTTTGTGTTTTAACTCTGTATTAAACTGTTTGAACTTCAAAATTAAAATCATAGTGCACAGATTCCATTTCAAAATGTTTGAAGAAGAAAGCTATGTTGGCACCTAAATCCTAGCAAAGTCTTACCATGACGATCAGCACAAAATGCCTGCCATCCCTTACTTTCTTAATTGGTTAATATCCATCTGAATCTTAAAAGAAACCTGTAATGAACAGCTGGATACCATCTTCTCAGTAGAAGAAAACAATTGATTTCAGAAAAAACAAGATATTTTCTATTTTTTTTTTAATTTCTAACTTTTGATTTCGAATGGAAGTACATGGTGCTACATGACCTGTTTTTTCGGTTTTGTCCTCCGTGTTTGCTACCTCGGTTTTTACTGAGTTGTTAGCTATACCGGTATCGTCAATTTCAGATTAACCTCACGTTTCTTAGTTGTTGTTTTTAAACTTATAATTATTTTATTCTTTGTTCAGACGGCCATAAAAACTCACAAAAAAAAGGATGGCATCATGGCAAAATGCAAGTCTTGCCCATAAATTGTTTTGACATTTTTGCGTAAATTATTTTTCCTGGCTTTCCAAGTATTCAAACTCTGTAGACGTTACATTCCTTCACTAATTTTTGTCTTAATTTTTGTTACAGTCTCAAATGAAGAAGTCTGAAGTATTCGAGCTCCTCAAAACTCAACTCTGGGCCCTTGGCTAGATAATTTGTTTGGAGTATCATTTTCTCATCATTTCTATCATCATTCCATTCAACAACAAATCCTCCCGTCCATCTCATTACTCGATCAACATTCATGGAATCATCATCTTTGCATTTTTAGTCTGGTTCCAGAAGTCTGATTCTTCGTTCAGGGGCATCTTTTTTGCAAGAGTTTGGTTAGTGTAAGAAATAGTAACGCAAGTGGTTTTTTACACTTGATGAACAGATTGTGAGACCATTGAAAGGTAACTTGTCATTCCGAACAGATTTAAGCCCAAACCGTGTCAACTAGCACCAGTGATCGTAAATCCCTGTCATTTTACCATGTTCCTAGTTTTTATACAGCACTATCTAAGAGCAAGATAATTTGCCCCATCTTAATATTTATGGCTACTACTGAAGTGCGCCAGTTAACGATTCCAGTGCATTCATAAAAAGGTTTATCTGAGATTTTTTCAACAACCAGCTCATTGAATGAAATTGATTTTTTAATTTTTTTTCTTTTCATCAAACTTCATGATACGAATAAAATTTGAGTCTGTATTCTCTCTATAGCGGTGTTAAATCATCGCATGATGCATCAGGACATTAGATACTAGGAATGTAAAAAATACGAAAATTGATAAAGAACAAAGAAAAACTCTCCATGAGCTGTGATAAAATATGAATCTCAATTGTATGCACTACTTTAAAATTAAAAAGAATTCAGTGACCTGTTTTTTGGATTTCTTTTAAACCTTTTTGTTAAAGCAGCTGATAGATTTCAATTTAGTCTGTAAGCGATTTTTTTAAGACAAAAGAAGAAGTTGTTTATTTATTTTTGTTAATAAATTTAGTATTTGTAATTTTATTCACCTCTCTGAATTTTAATTTTTTTTTTTTTACTCCAGGACCTGCAGTATTTATCTACACCTTTGATCAGTGCTGTTCAATGTTCAGAAAAGTACCAAGAAAAATATTTACCAGATGTGTGCACGCCTGGTTCTTTTACTTTAGTCTCTGGTTTTTTTTAACTATGTTGAGTTTTAGTTTTGTGAAACTTTGGCAGACTTGAGTTTAATAAAGCTAGAGATATTACAATTCAACTCTGCTGAGGACACAAGTTGGCTAAATTTGTACAGCAACTGGACTAGAGGATTAGGTAAGGGTGTGGTAGAGATGGGAGAAAACATCATGAATGGAGCCAACCAATAACATTTTATTACTGCAAGAGAACATGAACACAAAAAAGAAAAACAAGAAAATTTTTTGGGCGGAATGTCCATACTAGAATTAAATTTCCTAAAACATTTTTTACACCTTTTACACACTATTAAACACACAATAACAACATATGTATTATGACACTCCACAGCCTATTAACATTGAGACAAAAGTTGGGGTTTGGTGTGCAGCCAGATATTCAACATTAGTTGTTAGCTTCAGAAGCTACCTTCATCAAAATACATAAAACGCGGCAAATGGAAGTTCCATTGGCCAAGGTCATTAAAGTAAGGTTCTAAGGAGATTTAATTAAGAATTTTCTAATCTGTTAAAGATTGAAAAAAAGGGGTTGAACCTTTTTTTCTCGATCCAATTTTTCAGAGATGAAAAAATAATATGTTATGTAAATCATTATGGCTGAACCCTAACATGTGTCGAGTGTGTCTATACCCACTTTCATTTTTGTTGATAAACAAAAATTCATTTAATTTAAAGATTCAGGGCCTAAAGCTGCCTGCAAACCATATAAACATACCTTTAATTGGCAGAATCAGCTAATCAGTGAGTTTATGTTCAACTTGATGTACAATTTGATCCATCAGCGATTTGCGGAAGGTAAAACAGTGTTTGGGCCAATACTGATAAATTTGTGGGTTGGAAAGATACACAACAACTGAGCCGGACAGGCTCATAAGGAAAATTTTCGAAATGCATGAAAATATCAAGAAAAGTGGGTTCCTGCGCAACGTTTTGACATTGGCAAAATTATAAATTAGCTCACAAAATATAAATGCAGGTTCAGATGATTTTCTTTGAAGGGGTGATTACAAGATGTTAGACAAAAAATGTGTTCAGCAATTTCTTTTCTCACTTGAACTACATCGACTCTTGAGCCCATTGGTTTTTATTGCATCTGAGGGTTTGAAGGTTGGAAGGAGGGAGATGCAGAATTTCAGTACATACCACCGCACTCCGTCAGACATATGTATATCTCTATTTAGTGTCAACTTTAAATTTAGACATGCTGTGTAAACAGAGACTACAACAGACGGATTCCTGCAGTTGGAATCCAAACATTATTTATGGATTTTATCATTCTCTGAACTCACCAAATTCTTGCTGTCAACCGATCAAATTGGACTTCTAAGAAAGATACACCATGAAAGCAATTTATTGAGAAAAACAGAGTAAAATATACTCTCTTTGTTCTTTTGTTCGATTATTCCTTCAGATTTTTTTACATCTCTGCTGTTTATCTTAACAGGACTTATTAGTTAACAAAATTAGTATTGAGGTTGCAAACCAATTGCTACGTTTCTCAGCATAAGTAAATCAGGAAAATTCAATCTTCAATGAGATTATGGTTAAAAAACATTCTAAGAATGTTGCATATAGTAGAATTTTTTTCAAATCGGAATGATAGTGTGGTAACCAATGACTAAGTAAAGGAAAATGAAAAGTTTATACATGAAATAAGTTACATTTTATTGAAAAAATACCCAAGCGTACCGGTGTTTTTGCACCATCATCAAGGTCAAAATTTAGGAATTCAATGCCACAATCATAGACTATCTAAGCTCAAAATTTATGGGTAACATTTTTTCTTGAAACAGTAAAATTCCTCTCTTCTAATTCTTGGCTGGTCGTTGAGGTTCTGAGTAATTCTTGACTTTTCACCCTGATGATGGTGCTAAGACAACCGAAACTTTTCAATGAAACGTAAGCTTTTAACCTATTAACTTTACATTTTTTTTTTTTGAAACTTGGATATCACACAATTATTTCGTTTAATAAGGCTAGAATTATTTTAGTGTGATTTTAAACACAAACATGCTTTATTAAAAAATATTTCTTCAATACCTTCTTTTATAAATGAACGGAGATCCTTTTTAAAAGAACATTTTACAAGGATACAGTCCCTTAATGAATTTTAGAAATTAAAGGGATAAATTACTAAGTCCATTTCCGATAAATTAGTAATTTTCATCTCTCATATGAAATCTTCAACAAGGGGAAAACATCTTTAGATAGAGCTAACCGTTTCAATCGCCTTACTTTTTACATCTTAAATGCTTAGTGCTGGAACCAAAAATAATCTCACCACTTTAATTTTATAAAATTTGGAAAATAAATTGAGGATTGATACAAGTTAATGATTTAGATTGTCCTAAGAGTTTGGGTTATTTATTTTTGCCAATGGTTTCTGGTCAAATGATTCTGAAAATACAACTTCAGTCCCTTTCCTACATGGGTACAATCAAATGGCAAAGGCTTTAGGAGAGCTCTTCTTTCAGCAAACAAAATTTCATCATACACATGGCTCAAACTCTATTAAAGGGGGAAAAGGCATGTACTGATAGAGTTCAGGAATTGGTTGACCGACTTCTATTGAGACTAAATGCAATAATGAATGTTGCAGAAGTTGAAACTTTAAAAGTAGGCCAACTTATTAGTGAACTCAGATAATTGAAGTGGGGGAGGAGCCGTTTAAAGGAAAAGATAATTTATGTCTAATATTTCTAGCATTGGTGATTCCTGGTATTTATTGAGAGAGGAAATTTTTATCTTGCCTAAATTATTAATTTTTGTTGATACTTTATACCCACTTGTTTTAAAAAATAAAATCAAACCTTACAAAGTTGATTGGTGCTCTTTTTAATCCAACATCAATTGGAATTAATCGGTTCAAAACACAAAGCAACTAAAACATGAAGAGACTAATGAGATTGATTTATCGTTAGAGAAACTAACAATTGGTTAAAAACCCTTATTTTTCTAATAATTAAACTAATGTCATTAGTTAGTACATAAATACTAACAGTGTGGCAACAACAAAAGAACTACAAAACTTAATTCTACCAGTCTCTACTACATCTATAGGTTTTTAATTTAAGAATTTAAAAAATACATTCATGTCAAACCAGACAAACCGGGAAGATTGTAACAGACGCAGGATTGAAGAAGAAAACTATTAACTCCGAATTTTTTGGTGAAAGCTAATTAAAAATGCAATCTCTGGGAGCATAAGATTACAGACAGTTGGCACAGGAAAGTGATGACATAAAGTATCCAGTCAAGGAAAACATATGCAACATACGTAAAATATGAAATATACGTAAATATTGGACAGATAGGGAGCAAGAAGGGTGACTCTTATGAGGGTTAACAAGAGATTAAGTCCCTTTAATTTTTTCATAATAACTATTGAAAACAGAAAAATTACAAGTGCACAACATGAGAGTTTTGAAAACCCTCTTTTCAATGATTTCTTTCACTCGTTACACCCAATATGCCGTGATCTTTCATCCACAGACTAGTTGATGTCAGTTGCAATCAAATTAAGATATATGATCAATGCTGCAAATATTATTAAAAATACTATTTAAAAAAAAAAAAAAAACACAGGTGGACTGAAACTAGGGATATTATACAAGAATGTACAAGATACACTTTTCTCAGGCACAAAATCCATTATGATCGACCACACCAGCACATATGGTGGACAGTGACTCGGCAGAATGGCCTTATTGTTGATCTCTTACTCAGGCTTGATCCTGCATAAAGTGATTCTATATTCGGAGAAATCAATTAATCGATATAAATAATGGCACCTGATGAAAAATCAGCAAGGCTTTGTCATTAGGACTGACTGCTGGATAAAAACACGTCGGTGATATGGTTTTTCACAGTGGTCCCGAACCTGAAGAAAGTGTGCCTCAAGGATACAGTTATGAGTTAATTGCAGGTCATTGAAAAAATATTGCTTTTCAAAAATGCATCTGGTAAATAGATAAAAAAATAGAAATTTGGGCGGAGGGGGAGAAGGTAGGACTAAGCATCAGCATTTGCAAAATCTCTATTTTTTGGCAGCTAAAATTAAATTGTTCTCTTTACTTCCGCTTTTATCTACCAAAAAATTGTGATACTTAGAGGAGAAAGACAGTTACCAGTACCTGTTGGAGAATGTGCTTCAGAGAAAAAGTGCTGCAATTAATCATGTGAAAATGGTAATTTTTCATGTAAATAACTTTTGATGGAATATGTATTTAATTTACAGAATAATGGCATTGGAGATTTAAAAACTTGAGGTTGCAAAGAGGACTAAGTATGTAATTAAGTATGCTTATCGAAAATTGTAAGGTTTTATTCACATGGCCAGAATTTGAAAGGCCCTCAGAGAGCTTTGAATACCAAATCTCACTATATTTTGCAGCTTGAATGTTTGACAAACTCTAAATGCTGGTATCCCAACTTCATCAGTAAGCTTCTTTAATAATGATTATGATGGAGAAGGAAGATTTGAAAACAGATCATGAGTTGCACATAAAATTTTGAAGGGAGGGAGCGTTGATAACTATATTACAAAGGAGGGAGCTGGTCTAGCCTGGTGCTTTATCACGATCAATATTTTTTTATTAAAAAAACGAGATTTTTTGAAGAGGAACATTCTTGCATCATGTACATGTAAGAGAGAAATTGATAAAAAGTAGGAGTAAGGGTACATTTGGTGGTTATAAAAACTCAATTTAGAGAAAACTCAAACAAAATCAATTTCTCTATGTGTAGCCGACAGAAACTTAAACTTGAGAGAAATTTTTCACATAAGAGCTGCTCAAAAATTCAAATTTCTTTTTTTTACTTCACAGCTAATGAATCTACAAATAACGATTCAGTGAGAGGAAATTTTGTTTCATGCCGCAATCGTACGCTGAATTTGGAAGTCAACAGTCATCGCTCAACGGCTGAAATTTCTCAAATCCAGTTATTTTCATCCAGATTTTTATCAAATCTATTCCAATAGTTCAGACAAATCCGACATTATCCGGTGGTTGCTGAGCCTCGTTGCTAAATTTTTTTGTGACACGCGCAAAATTCAGGCATCGGGCTGATGACTTCCACATTCAAACCACATTCAGCTCCTACACTGAGCAAGTGATTCTGGCCTTATTTGAAATTTTTCTCATTGTTTAAGATGCTGGATATAAAGTATTCTTCAATGCCATGTGAGAGCAGGTCAAAATAGTTATGAGGACTATCACGTTTTTGTTCAAACAACCAAAACCAAATAAACAGCTTTTGGTTAGAGGAGTTTCATCTCCTCAATTTCATTTTTCTTGGGCAATGAAACATATCAACTGTAATAATTGTTGTACAAGGGTTGTATGATTGTATTTTATCAAAGTATATACCAAACATTAGTCAATCTCAATAAAGTGTCACCCGAAGAAGAAGAAAAAAAAGGACCAAGTTCATACTTAGGAATTGATTTTCAATGAAGAAATGGATATACTTTGTGAGTCATCATTTTTACTTGCTAATGGAGAATATATGCTCCCTTTGGCCAAATTTTTTCCAGGACCTTTCCTCAACTCTTTATTCACACCTACTGCTGTCAGAAGTTGTCCTAGAAGTGATTTGTTTGGCCCTTTCGGCACAATTTGACTAGAGTTGGGACTGATGAGCCTTTGATCTGGTCCATTCCAAGGAACATAATCCCGTCTGGAAAAAAAAAAAAAAATTATTTCACGTTAAATAAAAATAAACTCTTAAAATAAAATAAATAAGAACATTTTTTTTAAAAAAAAAAGAAAGAAAGAAATCAAGTTCCTTGTACTTAAGAACACACAGAAACACCACATAGGTGAGAGCAAAGGCTGAAAAAACAAGGTAAGGCAGTAATAACTTACATGAGTAACGATTCATTAGGACCCTTAACAAGGCTCGAGTTTGCGCCAGCAGTTTTCAAACGTAATGGTGATTTGAACGTTTTGTCTTCTGCAACACTTGTTCCTTTGGAGACTCTCCTAAAAAATAATAAAAATCCAGTTGATGAATACAGAATGCAAAAGAAAAAGTAGAATATTGGTACAATTGAATGCAATTTAACTTCAATTCTTTGTGAAGAAACGGAACAGATGAAGCTACAAAAATGGCCAAAAATCTGATAAAATGCAGCACTGTTGTAACACACATAAAAGAATGCAGCAAACAGCATGTTAAAGAAATATAGAGTAAAAACGATAAATCTTTCACATTGACGAGATAGTTGTACAAACTGATTGCAGTAGACTGGCGGTGGATTTGCAGTTTTCTGCCTCCGGTAGTTGTGCTTTTAATTGGGTCAAATCTAGGAGAGTTTTTGAGATTTTCTGAAGTTTTGCCTACTTACTCATTGAGTAAATTACAGTTTACTACTTTCATTGCTAAAGATAAAAGAGATTGAAGAGTTGAAATTCTTTTGACCAAAAGCTGTTTATTTGGTTTTTCTTGTTTGAACAAAAAATGTGTTGGCCGTCATATATATTTTGAACTGTTCTAACATGGCATTGAAGAGTCCACCTTGCATGTTACGCAAACAAGAAAAATATTTAAAAAAAGTAAGTGATGATTTTAGGAGAAAGTGATGGTTTTGCCTTTCACGCATAAATTAATGGAGGAGGATCACTATACCTGAGGACTTCTTTCCTTGTTTTTGAATGTTTTGACATGTTTTCCTTGTTTAAAGCGCTGGAATCTACGTTTTGATCAGAGGACGAACCAACAATCAAAGGTGAGGCATAAACAGAGGTACTCTCCGTACAGTTGTCATTTCTAAAAGAAACATAGGAGTAAAATATTAATTACAATTCAGTCTAGAAAAAGAAAAGGGGGGAAAAAACTGCAACTTTAATAAAAAAATTTGCCCATGACAAAGCGTATTCGCAAAGAAAGTTTGGGGAATTGCAAAAGCTGCCTTGCAAATGGAGTTGTCTGCGCAGGGAAGTTTTAGTATTTAGGTTACTTTAATTCCACTCATTCTCAACGGATGAAACTATATACATTGGTTTGATATCTCAACCAACAAGCAATGCTACCAATCTATGACAAATTTTGAATGAAGTTTTTACAGTAATTTTTGAGTATATAAGTGAAGCAAATTTTTTCTCATTCTCTATATCTAACCTCACTAGTTTCATAAACATAAAAACGTGCTTGCGATGCTTGTTTCTCTTTTTTCAAGCCATTGCATGCATGTTTAAAACTTCACTTTCTAGTTCTATCTGACATAATACATTCCTTTGTTCCTACATTCCAACACGTTTGTAAGAGTGGCTAAAATTGTAGTCACAAAACAAATGTGTGAGCTTGGTTTTTTTTTTTTTTTTTTCCTGTAGATAAGACTCTTCCAATGATATAAGTCAGAGGAGAAAAGTGAACTTTCAATCAGAAAACATTCTGAACAATACCAAAGAATCAAAAAAATTAATTCAGCACTGCAAAGTTGGATTACATAAGGAATAATTGGGCATGAGCTGTGAGGGTCGTTTATCTTCTAATTTAGAGGCCAAGTGAATGTTAAAACAAGCAGTGAACTCCAACACAATGTGTTGATAAGGCGCGTCATTAACTCGCACATATCAACCCCTTTAGTTTTCATTTACAGAGATTTCAAAATAGGCAAACAGCATAAAAAGAGAATTCACGATCCAACACTGCGAGGTCAAAGACGCACCTTGACGAGACCGTGTATTGTGAAAGTAGAAAGCTATTCGATCGAATTTAAGTTTTTTGATCNGAATGTTAAAATACCAAAGCTAGTGATTAATTAATATTAAAATTGTAAACCAATGAAAAATCATCAAATTATTAGAAAGTTTAGTTAGCTTCTTCCATTCTTTCTACGTTCAAAGATTCTCTGATAAAGACCAGTTTATGAGGTTGCCGGGAATTTGACATAAACAAAAAAAACAACTGAAAATTGTTACCACTTACTCTGTCAGTATTTTTTCTTTACAGCAATCATCCGTTTGGTCTTCTTGCTCTCCTTGATCTACGGTTGTTTTCAAGATAATAGCAGCTCGTTCTTCATCGTAGTTGGTGCTATCTAAAGCAAGGGCTATAACTCTTTCAGGGATTGTCTTGAACTGTTCTTTGAGTTTCACTTTCACTGAGAGGCAATTAAAATTTCGAAATAATAGTCAAATAAGATACAAAGTGGGTAGGATTTTTAAAAAAGGCTTACAAACTTTTGAAATTTTCCTGCAACAGTGAATCAGTATTAGAGGAAAAATCCTGTAAAAGAAGGGGATTTTAGTCAAGATAGTACACACTAACTAATTATGAGAAATTTCAGTCATTGAAACAACTGAAAAATCTGCGAGAGGCAAAATATTTTGATTTCGACTCAACTTCATTGACAAAGAAAATTTAAGTAAAATTCATATGTATAAACACTTTAATTTGACTTTGAATGCTTTGGCAGCTTCAAATCAAACGTTGGCCTGATTTCGACTCAACTTCATTGACAAAGAAAATTTAAGTAAAATTCATATGTATAAACACTTTAATTTGACTTTGAATGCTTTGGCAGCTTCAAATCAAACGTTGGCCTGATTAGGTTAGTCTACTGAGCTTAACATGACAACAGATTTAGCTGGGGAAAAAAAATTATTTCTGTGAAAAAAGGAAGTTATTTCAATGCCATTCAGAGAAAAAAGGGATACTATCCTTTTCTGAGGAAAACATAAAACTTCAGATGAGACCATAAAAAAAGAAACTGCATTAGAACGAGAATTAAACTTACTGTCTTGTTTTTCTTCTAAACTTCTCATTCGAGGAGGTAGTGTCGATGATACCGAGCGGCGCTGAGACTGGAGCAGCTGCCTTAGCTTTTCTTCCTCCTCTTCCGCTTCATCCCTTTTCTTCAGAACGACTCTTGGCGTTGGTGTGTCTCTCTTGTTAAATCCCATCGTTAATAATTGTTCTGTAGCCAGATGAACATTGTTATCTGCTCCACACAGAGTATCCAGCAATACAGTCTCCTCCACAACAGGGAATACGCTTTTTAGATACCTGTTCACAAATGAAATTATTAGAAAAAAACTTCGCAAAAATGTAAGAACCTTAAAAAACCAATTAAGTTAATTTATGATTTGATTTCTCACGAGTAATTATTAGTCTTTAATTTGAATTTTAAGTTATAAATAAGATTTTAAATCAGTGGCTTAGTGCCAGAGGATCAGAGCTATATTTCCAAGGGGCCATTTGTAAATTACGTGAAACTCTGGGGGGAAGGTGGGACTAAGAGAGTGTAAAGTCATTATGCTTTTGCAAGATAAAGGATAGGGACCTACATAACAAAAGCATTACGAGGAGGAGGCGGGGGTGAAAAACCCGAAATTTAGCATTGTGTATTTTATGAATAGCTCTATGGGATCCAGGATCCTATCATAAAATTTTCAAAAGATCGTTAGGAATGTACGAGATAACTGAACTATGGACAAATACAGGATTTTCGAGTTTCACCATCCATTCAAAGCTCCTGCACTAGAGCTGTTCGAACCTTCAAAATGCTAGAACTGGTTTAAATCAGATGGCTGGTTTCAATTACGTTTTTTTTGGTTTATTGTGGTTTGATCAGTAAAAGCCAGTTTTAACAGGTGTTAGTAATTTTTTGCAAACTTTTGCAACTTCATAGGAGTTCACATAAGATCATAGTTCCGAGGAACTTTTTCTTCAGGGAATTTTACTAATTTTTTGAAGTTTTTTATAATTTTGCTGATTTGGAGGTCCCTCCGTAGTGATTAAAAAATTTCAAGAGAATCTAAGGTTTGCAGAGCCCTACAACATATTTTAAAAATACAAAAACGCGATTTCCTTAATGTTAGTAACAATATTTCAGAAAAAGGATGACTAAAAAAATCGTAAAGTAAAAAAAATGTTTCAACAAATATTTTCTATGCTACCAATCTACCATGCTACTGATAATACCTTAACATGCCAACACTTGCAAGCTACACTTAAACTTCAGGGGTTACAGGAGAGTTAACTAGAAAAAAGTTAGTTTGAATGACTCAATAGAAAAATTTATATGCATTAATATAAGATGAAGGATGGACTAGTATCAATGCGTGCGTTCCATTGATTAATCCATTTATTTGAAGAAAAGATTAAAATGGAGATGAAAAAATTGCAAACATGATTCTTAAAATAGGATTTAGTTAAAAAGTTAGGATAGCATATCTTTTACAGCCCTCTAAAGTAAATTAATTTATTTGCAATAAGCGCAACAAAGAAAATCCACAACAGGTATACTTCTCCTGATAATGACTTCAAATTGTAGACTTCGTTCCGATTTTAACTAACAAATAAGGTAAGTTTCAACAAAAACTGGATTTCAGACACTTCAGACGATTCAAAACAGAAAAAAACAAGATAGCTAACTTTACTACATTCATTTGTTAAATTAAAAGAAGAGTAACAAGGTTGTATAACTGAAATAAAAAGTCAGAATAAAAATTCTTACTTCAAATAAAAAAAAAATAATGCACGCCAGATTATTTTAAGGACAAAGAAAGATTCCTTAAAGGGGGGGGGGGGGAAGGGAAAAAGAAAAAAAAATTCCAACGGTTTTTTATTCTGATTTTCAGAGGTATGGAACCATTCACCTTGGATTGAGAGGAAACAAACAAATATAATTAGAATCTCCTCACCTTATCACTTTTTTCATTGCATTGTTTACTCCCGACTTAAAACTACAGTAAAGAGCATGTTAGATAGACAGATCAAACACCACAGAGCTAGATTAGTTGTGGAATTTAGAAGTGGTTAGTATTTCCCTTTCCGAAAAAGTCGTTCACATCAAATACATTACCGAGACAGGTGAGAATAATTTTTGCCGCTGAGAAAGTGAAAACGCTTCTGTTTGTCCGTGATCATTAAGGTAAGGTAATGTCAAAATCGGCAAAAAGATTGTTGGTGGGTATTTTACGTACGGTCGGATGAGCATTACGTCCTATAAAAACAAAATTAAAAATGAGGAAATTCGTTCATGCAAATGATGCAAAGTCAAAAAGGTGGACAAAAAATAAAAAGAAAAAAAAAATGAGAGAAATAAAAAAAAATGTAATAATGAAAAGAACTGAACTTGATCATCGAAGTCTGCTGAAAGATAAATAAACATAGGATTATGTAGTTGGGTGAGCTGACTGGATCATCAGATTAACACAAAAGATAAAATTTAAAACCAAATGATCATCAAAAAAATGGAGACAAATACGTGCAATCATAAACATGGCAACACTAACTTCTTCACAAATTCGATACAAAATTAGAATAGTTGCTACAAATCATTCTTTTGTACAAACACTGCACATTATCAATACTCAACAATAACTACACATCAACTACATTTGTTTTCGCTGCTACTGCTGAAATTGATAAAATAATAAAATTGCAGGAAAAAAAAATAATAATAAAATAAGAAAAATACTTATTTCCTGTGTGAGGAAGTTATTCTTAAAAAAAATAAAGAAAAACTAGTAAACTAAAAAGAAAAACTTTCTAAAAAAAAAGAAGTGTTTCTAATTCATTAAAATCTCTGTTAAGGTGTATCTACAGCTGCGTGAAGTAAGAAATTTCTCCGCGCAGGGGGCGCCACCGCTGTGTTTTAGAGTCCGTACAGCACCACGTGAGTCCTTGAGCTTTTATAAAAGTTGAAGGAATTTCTGTTTAAATCGAAGATAAATAAGTTCTAGCTATAACATTCTTCTTCCTATTGACCCTAAAAACAACGTGAAAAGTCATTTCTAAAGCTCTGCAATTTGATCCCAGAAAAAAGTAGGGTTAAGCATGATGACCTTGATGCAACCAATCGCGTTTGATCGCTCTCAGCAGTTGGCAGATATCTCTCTCCCACCGTGAGCTGTCTCTCTCGCACTTACAGATATCCCGTAAGAGAAACTGGGATCAATTTACAGCTTTTATTATTAGACTTTCAAAGCTCGCGTTTGTTTCTAAGGATTCCAGACGTATGCTGCTAGAACTTATGAGTCTTAGAATTTAAGATACCTATTGTGATATTTAAATAATCACTGATTTCGGAGTCGGATTTTAGCAGCGCGACGTGGTGGATTTTTTCGGAATTACAGCTGAAGATTAACCTTAACTTGCAGAATCAGCAATATGAATTAAAGAAAGGGGAGAGATTATACTGGGTCACTTGCGCTAGTCACAAAATCGTGCTTTAGTGGTTTGGTGAGATTATGGGTAAGCAAAATTGGATAAGATCTGTTCGAAAGCCAAGTTTCTGCGTCCAATATTCACAGAGTTTGAGAAACACTGTGTATGATGTCATCCACCACTGAAGTACCAACCGTAGTTTCTTCGATCTTTGATTCATCAATTAGTGATATACATGTTTGTACTTTTTGCTCCACTTAAAACACAAATGAAACCAAGATGGATGAAACCATGGTATGCACTACAGTGTTGGAGACGCCAAACACTGTGTTTTTTGATTAGCAACATTTCCTTTAATATTGGACGTAGAAACTTGGCATTTTGACTGATCATATTATTTTTTGCTAGTTTATTAGTTTGAATGATAAAAAATTAAGTACCTAATAAAATAAACCTTAAATTAACAGGGATTGAAAGTTTTCCTGACTTTAGCCATAATATGTATGGATTAATGGAAAAAAAATAAATAGTCAAATTGTAAAATAATAAAAAAAAAAATAATAAAATCATAGAACTGAGAAAACACAGCCGCAAAGTCTAAACAATGACTCTTAAATTAAATTGTAGATGGAGAAAAGTGGTTTTCATTGAATAACACCTAACTACAAGAAAATGACTATGTAATAGGAATGACCATGGATGCAATAAAACCATAAAAACCTTAGTTTCATTTTTGGAGAAGAATGGGGCCGTGGAGATGTATTTCGAAAAGGTGATGTTATTATGCCAACACCCGATCGAGGGCTATCTTTCCCACCCGGAGGTGGAGTCATTTGGAGAGAATACTGTCTGCCTGAAAGGGAACTGGTGTAAGGACCAGGGGTGGCTAGAGGATGTTTCTCAACTTGCAGAGCACTTACCACCACAGCCTCCCTGTTGTGGTACCTGAAAAGTTGAGTCATTAAGGCAAAAGTAGAGGCGCTTTCAGTTGTCAAGTCTTTGACTGAAACATGTTGATATCCTAACACAAATTTGATCACTACTCACATATATTTCTCTGTGTATAGCCTTTTACATGGTTTTAGTTCTGATTTTTCTCTGCTTTTTTTGAGTTTGACATGTGTTTTTCTTTCATTATTCGCTTAGTCTCAAGTTTTTAACAAGAGATATGTACAAACTTTTTTTTTTTTCGAGAGTTGCTGGTTTAATCATTGATGATTCACGGCAGTCCATTCCTTCCTTTCTCAAGACGAATTATTTCAGTACACCGTGCAAAGAGCTTCTTCTATTTAGTCAGCTTGAACATCATTTTAGAATTTTTTTCATTTCAGGGAGTATTTTCCATTACTCAGGAACTTTCATTATAAGCTAATGTTTCTGATCAATTTATACTTTGAATTGATGTTCTCTGTACAGTCCAACTGGCTTTATGAAAAAAGCTACTGTTTGTAAAAAAGTTCTCTTTCATACGATTATTTTGGGTGTTTCACTTCCATGACTTGGCCACTTAAGCCCTTTCACCCAGTTACAGTCACACACAAAAATCAACGAATGGAAAAAATATACTCACTTGAGCAGCAATGTTTTGATGTGTGTTTCTCCTACAGTTGGGAACAAAGCGCTAATTTTCGCCACAGACTGCTCTATTGTATTTGAGCTCCCATACGGACTTTCATTCATTTTATATGCATGATAATCTGCAGCGCTGGATCCCATCAGGGGGCTGTACGTTCGAGAGGGCAAAGGACTACATTTCCCATAGCTTAAGTGATCCTAGATAAAAAAAAAAAAAAAAAAAAAAAAAAAAAAAAAAAAAAAAAAAAAAAATATTAAAACAAGTTTGATGTACCTAACAAACGTGATTTTGAAGCTGATGCAAGCCAAGGAATAAGTGACTTGATTCAAGCAGAAAAATGCTCAAATTTATCGCCAAGAAGATTTTCCTTATGAATCAATAAAGAAAATAATGAATGTTTAAAGAAGAAAAGCTGCTTGTCTAAAAAGAAAAGTCACTTACATCAAGCAGAAACCTGCTTTCATTTAGCTATTTTATTTTTGATTCAAAATAAAATCTTCGTGCCGGCATACTCAAGAATGTTTCTGCCTAAATCGAGTCACTTTTTTCTCTAATGAAATGAAAAAAAATTTGCTGAACATTATTAAATACGGATGCTAGGACTTGGTGAGTTTTTGGAGTACCGCTCTCTTTTTGTGCTGTAGTATCTTGATTCATTTTGAGAGGAAAGCTCCGTGCTCTAGAAGGATGCCTGTCATTCATAATTCGTTGGAGTGCCTTCGATTTCATGTGACACAGTGCAACACCTCTGTTAAAAAATAGTTACTTGAGGCGCCGCGTGGCACGCTGCGGCGCGGCGGGCGGGCGGCGAGCGCGAGACGCGCACTGGCGCCTACAAACCTAAGGGGATACTTCAAGCATTGCGCAATGCGTGAAGTATCCCTTTAGGTTGTAGGCGCCAGTGCGCGTTAGGCGCTAGCAGCACTCGCTCCCCTCCGTGTTAGGCTCCAATATTTAAACTCCCGGAGTCGGCGTTTTTCAACTCATGATTTTGAAATGTTTGCACACTCTGCATAGATTATTTACATTTAAATTGATGAAAAAAAATATGTAAAAAAAATATAATATATGTATGTATGAGCCGCTTTTACGGCGCGCTAGGGCGCTCTGCGACGCCTATTCTCCACAGGAATCTGTCATGGTAGAGATCCTCCGGAAGGTGGCATCTCTCCATCTCTTCATGGATGCCCTCTACCCACCGTTTGGCTGGACGCCCTCTCCGTCGCCTACCTGGGGGGACCCACTCCAACACCTTCTTCGGCAACCTGGTATCAGCCATTCTCTGCACATGCCCATACCATACCAATTGCTTGGTCATGATATCGTGCACAATCGTCCCCTCAACGCCCATTATCTCTCGGACACGTTCATTCCTGATACGTTCTCTCCTCGAGATTCCAGCCGATCTTCGCCAGAAATCCATCTCGGTCGCCTTGAGCATTTCTTGGGTCCGCTTCTTCAACTGCCACACTTCACTGCCATAGGTGATAATAGGCTTGACAACCGAGTTATAAATCCTCTTCTTGTTGTCTTTGGAAATCCTTTGGTCCCAAAGGATCCCATTAAGCATGGCGATGGCTTTCCTTCCTAGAAGATTACGGTCCCGAATGGCCTGATCCAGCTTCCCATCCGAAGTCAGGTTCACCCCCAGGTACTTGTATTGTTCGCAACTTTCTATATGTTGACCATCCTCCAGGACTATGCTTTGCTGAGCACCTCCGACTGACATCTTTTTTGTCTTACGAACACTAACCTCGAGGCCCCATTTGCGGTACTCCTCCACCAACTTCCGGGTCATATACTCCGCGTCATCGTGATCTTGACTTATGACTACCTGGTCGTCAGCAAAGCATAGCGTGAACAGTGTTTCTTGGTCATTTAGAGGGACGCCCATGCCGGCACACTTTCTTTTCCATTCCTTCAGAACGTGCTCTAGATATATCTTAAACAGCGTCGGTGACAGACAACATCCCTGCTTAAGCCCCTTGGTGACAAAAAAACCGTCTGAAAGCCTTCCTTGGCACTTAATTCTAGCAAAAGCCCCCCGATAAAACTGCTTGACTGCCCCAATAAGTCCTTTACTAAAACCAGTTTCTTCTAGGACTTCCCAGAGTTTCACAAGAGGAATACTATCATAAGCCTTTTCAATATCCAAAAACACTAAATGAAGCTCCTGGCCAACAATTCTCTTCTTTTCGGTTAACTGGGTAACACAGAACAGATGATCAGCGGTAGACCGACCAGCCCTAAAACCTGCTTGCTCCTCCGCCTCGAACGGGGTCCACTCCTCTTCGATCTTCGCTTTCAACACTTTTCCATAAATTTTACTTATCGTTCCTGTCACCGCTAACCCTCTGTAGTTCCCACAGTCATCCTTCCTTCCTTTTTTATGCGACGCTGTTATCCAGGCCTCTTTCCATTCTTTCGGGATGTCATCACCGTCAATGCACTTCTGCAGCAAATCCCTGAGATGGTTAACCAACTTGCCAGTCCCACATTTAATTAACTCGGCTGGAATGTTTCCTGGCCCAGGAGCTCTTCCATTCATCAATTCCCTGATTGCTTTGACCACCTCCTCAACTCGAATTTCCATTGAGTGATCCTCGACTATATTTTCAGCATTCCCCGTTTGAAACTCTGGTCGTCCTTCCGTCAATAATTTATTAAAATGTTCGTCAAGCTGTGAGATTGTTATCGGAGATATAATGTCCCGTTTCATGTCCCTTCTTAGGCCTTTGATCAGCTTCCAGCTCTCAGCACTCTTCCTTCCCCCCAGGTATGTGTCAATCCTTGAGCAGTTGGTCTCCCAAGACTCGTTTTTCTTCCTGGTGATTAAAAGACGAACCCTCGCCTGGGCTTTCCTATACGCGCCGCGGGTGTCTGCAGTCCTAGAAGCCAGATAGTCATGGTACTTCCTACGCTTTTCTTCAATTACCTCCTCTACCTCTTTGTCCCACCAGTAGGGTTTCTGTACATCCTTGCTCTCATTACACATACCCAGGGCTTCCTTCGCAGCTGAATGTATGCAACTTTTGATGAACTGGTACAACTCTTCTGCAGTATCGAAAGTTTCTACTCCCAGTTTCTCATCCAGCCGCTTCCTGTAGAGCGCTTTCACGCTTTCATGCTGTAAGCTATCGATGTTGTAGTGCACTTGTTCGATCTTCGTTCCTTGTGGCTGGAACTTCTGTTGTTGCAAGGTATTCCTCTGCAGCCCATACTTAACCGGAAATGCAATCTCCGCCTTGAGAAAATGGTGATCACTACCACAGGAGAACCCCCGGCAAACTCTTACTTGTTGAACCTTCATGGTACTCGTCTGCCTGGTGACCGCGTAGTCGATGATTGACTTCAGCCCCCGAGTTTGCTGAACCCACGTGTACTTATGGATATCTCGATGTTGGTAGAATCCGTTCAGTATTTTCAACTCGTTTTGTTCACACATATCAATGATGCGTGCACCGTTGTCATTCATCGCCTCTTCACCGAAAGGTCCAACAACTTTAGAACCATTCCTTCGTCCGGTTCTACCATTCAAATCTCCCATGATAATGACCTCCCTTGTCCTTCCAACCCTCAGAACCTCGTCGTTGAGTTGCTCAAAGAACTGATCCTTCAGATTGACGGGAGCATCATCATTCACACCATATACTCCTAACAGGGCCACCTTGTGACCATGCAGTGTAAGATGCATTCTGATGATCCGCTGGTCTACTGCTTCCCAAGTAGTTATAGACGGACGCAAACTTTTCCGGATAAGTATGGCGACTCCTTGCTGTGCGCGTTGATCTTTACTGACACCACTATAGAACAGATCATAACATCCTAAGTTTTCTGATCCTGTGCCTTTCTTTTTCGTTTCTGTTAACACGGCGACATCTACATTATACTTTTTTACCTCCGATACAACCTCTGTCAATTTATTAGAAATGCCCTGTACATTCCATGTCCCAAAAACCATTGTCCTTTTCCGTAGTTTGTGTCGCAAAATCCGTTTTTTTCCATTATCACCGAGGCTATCTTTGTTAGGCTTTTTAACATTAAGTTTTTTCCGGGTATCGGGGAGTTAGCCCGATGCCCCAACCCCCAACCTGGAGGACCAGGGTTTGATTTTGGAGTACCGTCTCCTAGACAGGCTGCTTTCACCACAGCTATGAGCCCTGTCTGCCCCTCTGATGAGTGGTTCATACGCCATGAAGCCGGTGACCACCTCCACCCCCCTTTAAGGCAGGGGCTACCAGCTGGGGTCCGCAGGCTTGCTAAACCTGTGACAGTACTGAGTACAGTCCCCCATACGGACCGTTATAATAATATATATATAATATATATTTTGTAAATACTAAGGTGGTTCCAAGTCAACTTAAATCATTTCTGAAACACTTTAATTTTTTCTTTTATATTTTGTGTTTTTACTGTGCTGCAGCGTTGTGCAACTAGACCCTCAGAATTGGACGAATTTGACTCTAAAGGATCAATGTACAAATGGGATAAAACTGAAAAGATTGCGTGCTATTCAGTTTTTTTTCCTCTTTTAGGTGTTCATTTTTGTATAGTTTCTTTCGACACAACTACAGCTCGATGCCATCGCTTGGAACAAGTTTTAAAAATATTTGCCACGTTTCAAAAATGTAAATGTTTTTAAGAAGGAGTAATATTTTCATTTAAAAAAAGAAAGAAAAAAAGAAAAAAAAGTAGTATACATAAGGTACATTTTAAGTAAAAAAATTTAAGGATAGAAATAAAACAAAACATTCACCAATGACAAATTGAAAAGGTGAATCAAAAGAAGAGAGTAACATTACATTTGAAAGAAGGGTTACCACAACAACACCTCCTTCTCTTTTAATTTTCTCATTTCGATTTTGTCAATATAATTTTGCATACAGTCTAAAATATAACGCTTTGACAAAGTCATTGTTGCTTATTTTAAGCGTGGATGTAAACTACTGGACAAAACAGGTGCGCAGACAAAAATTCATTAACGGAATGTCCTAAAACTAAATCAAGAATAAAATAATGCACTAACCTGGTGAAAATGATAAAAGGGTGGTTGATTGTAAGATGATCGAGCATCGCTGAGCTGCGGTGATCCGTGCTAATGAAATACAAAAGAAAATATGATTAATAATATTTATGGGCTAAGTGCAAAGGCTCCACTGGCAAGCTCTAGTTTATATGTTTGACAAACTTGGAATTCTCATAAATTACTATGCTCGGTTGAAGTTCCTTGTTGTTGCTATCATGCTCTCATGCTTTATGAATTTTCTATTAACTTAAAATTTCATCAATTTTGCAAGCAAGTTTGAGTTTTCCTACCTATGATAATAGCTAGATAGTATAATATATATAATAATACAAATAATTATACATGTTATAAGACAGAGTAAAATCAATAAAATTAAATTAAAATAGAATTAAGCTGAGCAATAGTTTACTTTTTCAGCTTTCATCCATTTTCAGGTATAAACTACGTTTTAACATTGCGTACCTACAAATATAATTTTCAATAACCAGAGTTCTCTACATTTTGTACATTTTTTGGTACATCTTGTTCAGAAAAATTCTATGAAGCTCTGGAGAGGGCGTAGGGGGAGCCTCCTAAACCTGCCGCTGCTGTACTTTCAGAGAAAGATACCTAAGAAGAATTGAAAAGAACCTTGTGCCACCGCAACGTAGTCTGTCCCAGTTTCAGTAACTACAGCTCAGTGCAGAGAGCAGTGAGAGAGAGTGGAAAACAGAACATAAGAGACTGTCTGGGAATTGGCAGAAAAACAGTTTAGGGAGGGAGTCTGTTGCATTTGGCTAGTGTGGTGAGGCATGGTACTTTGGAGCACGCCTGCAGCTTTATTTCAATTATTATAAATGAGGCATAATATAAGAGAGATGACCTTAGGTATGATCATTGCAGCAAGAAATATCAAGGAAAATGCGTTTTTAGAATTTAATATTGGGAAATTGAATTCAGATGACACAAACGCATGTTGGCAAACTGCTTTGAAAATGTGTGTTTCTGGTGTAATTTTGACTATCCTGCCTTGGCAGGTTCAACTTGCTACTCGGAATGACTGAGATATTGAAACAATCTGAACATCAGGTGAAAAATTTGTTCTTACTTGGATCGGAATTGACTCAAATGTTTGTCCTGATAAGGAGAGTGGTCCCCTCCGTAAACGAGGATCCTCCAGGGATGCATTTCTGGTAATGTAATTCACGTAATACCTGCAAGTCAGACAGCAAGCAATGCAATGAATAATGGTTTTTGAGATGCTGCAACATCTGAGACTCTTTTGTCTTGGTGCAAAGTTTTACCAAGCATCCATTGACATAGAGAAGAAGACCTTGATCGAGAGGCTCATATTTAGTCTAGTAGCCCATTCTCCTATTGAAGCCTTACAAATGCATCACAGATTATGGATAGATTGATATATAGGAGTATAAGCCCTGGACAGTATTGACATTTTCAGTGAGTAGTAGATTATCTCATCAGGCGGTAGTGGAAAGAATCCTGACAAAACTCTGTTCGGGGCTATTAGAAGTCCCTCAACATTGTTCGATGAGCATCAGCAATTTTAAAAGATGCAAGAGATCGGAGAACAAATGAAAATCTATGAAATTGAAGGTGCTGCCTGCATATTGGTATTTTACATGTTGATTTGCTATTTTAGTGTATGAACGTTCGACATCATCTGAAAAGAGGAGACTTAAAATGTTGATTCCCAAAAATCTAAACAGATATTACTTAATTAGGTTATGTGAGGACAGGGAATCGTGCTCTTGATTAGTCTATGCTCAAATAAAAGGATGACAATATCTTGATGGTTTGCATACTTCTGAAAACCAAAATGAATGTTCCGAATTCAAATAGATAAAAGTGAATTAATGAAAATAATCATAAATAATAATGTTAGAGCAACACGCGCAGGGGTAAGGAGCGTAGCCCAGTTAGATTGTTTCATACTTCAGCGTCACCTTACTTGACGTCTACCTTCCAAGTCTTCATGATTAGAGGCTTCTATGGTAACACCATTTGGCAATTTTTGAGGAGAATTTGGATGGCTATACTGCAATTTCGGGGAAGTTGGGCTCCAGACTCAATGGTCCACTCGGTAACTACAGTAATTCTATTCTTCAGTGTCTGCTACACAGTAGAAATCTTACTGATGAGGCCTTCAAGTTGTTTGGTAAAAAAATTATTCTGACAGATCTACAGCCGGGCCTCAAAAGAGGTGAGGTGGGACAAGATCATAATTGGAAAAGATAGTTGAGTGACATGAGAGAAAGATCATCACCTTCGTCCAGTTTTGGGGTCATATTTGCTGTCCCATCCAGGAGGTAACACATTTAACTCGGCATAATCAGCCATTGTTCACATATTTAAAAGCACAGTAGCACAAAAACGTTAACAAAATTGTAGATTAACTGCAGAGTCCACGAATCTTACACAACAATAAGAAATTATCCTGTGTTTTTGTTACCAAAAGTTATCGTTTGTTTTGCTTTTGCAGGCACGGCAGACACCGCTTCCTCAGCTTGTGATAAGTGACGTCACACTAAAGTGGGTAAAACCCTGGGGTAAACCCCACCATTTTCCTTTATTTCGATTACATCATCCGTGATCCTTTTATCCTGAAGCCATTATTTATCTCCTTATCAATCCTAAGGTGCAAGAATTTTTGGACGTCACCAAAATATCCTTGGACAATCCTTGTATTTATTTTAATTCCAGAAAAGTCGTTCAGCATCGAACCTTGGACATTACTCTCTTATCGTATTTAAACTTTCTACATCATTTGCAGGTAAAAATATAAATACTTAATTTAATTTATTTTATTATTAATGCAACTTAACTTATTCATGTTCTCACCAATGCATTTTTTTATCAAATCCAGTTGACTCTGTGATTTTTCACAGTTGAGGGAAAATAATTGCTGCTTTCATGAGGAGTGGTTTTCGATGATCATTTAGCTTCTTATGCATATGATTTGCTTATAGTGATGTTCCGAAAAGGCAGCTCAGAAGATCCACTTTCTAATTTATCGGAAACGCAACAAGGCAATAGGTAATCTAGCAATACGGATCAATGAAGGTCCAGACTTTTAAGCGTAACCTTGTCTGAGATACAGATTGCAGAAATACCCTGGGATTCATCTAATATCCCTGTTACCTTGAAGTTATTATCTTCAAGGAAAAAACCAATCATTATTGGTAAGCAAACCTGATAATGAAACTGGACGAAAAGTTTTAGAGCACTTCTAGTCCATGAGATTCAGATGGTCCTGGTTGGACAAATTTCTATTAACTTTAAGGACTCCCTGCAAATTGGTGCTCTTTAATCTGTCAGAGCATTGAGCTTGCAAAATACTGACAAATGTTTTAGCCTAGTTTCCATTAAGTACAAGTGTCAATTTTTGATCGATGCAACCTTAACCGAAATTGAAAATTAACCAAGTTACGCCGGTACCATATTTTTTGCACTCTGTAGCACGGCTCACCTGTTGCAATTGAGGAAATCTTTTAAATATCACACTAACCTTTAACCACAATGTGTGTGTTGTATGCTCATCTCTACAATAGGAACTGACATGCTTGAGAGAATATAATTTAAATTACGTGTGGTATTTGCAGGTTGTATCTAGACTTTTGTAAAATGAGGATCCATCTCATCTTTCTCGGATTCCTCCTAGTTATCCAAAGTGTTGTGGGCCCTCCACCAAAAAAGCGACTTGAAGATAGCGATCCAATTGTGAACGAAATTCCCGATGCAGACAAACCAGCTGATCCTTACAAGGATTTCCCTGATGCCAGTGAATACAAAGAAAATGTGTATCCAGAATCAGTCGACAACAAGGTGTGTATTTCATAATATTAGTCTGTAAATAGTACTACCTTGTTAATAGGTATACAGTGTGATTCATGACACTTGGCTTACGTCGCTCCTTCAACGATTAAAAATGGAACCGTCTGACAAAGTCTGCCAGTTCTGTGGCTCCTTAGGAGCATAAAGTACGAAATGAGGTCATCACTTTTGGAAAGTTTGGCAATGGGTTATTTAACAAAATTTCTTTAATAGGTACTCAGAATCGCATTAAATTAGCACTTTACATTGTACTTGCTGTGATCAGCACGCACAGCGAGCAGTTTCTTGTGGGACTTAGAGTCATAGTAAGTTGATACATTCCTCTAGAGGTGATGGCCTCAGAGAAATGCAGGGCAGATGCAAAATAATTTTAACGCAAAAGTTTGATCCACTAACCAACCCAGCCGGCAAGTGGCTTCAAATACGTTGCACTATATGTTACCTACCGTGTGAAAATTAGGAAAGAACAACAAAATGATTTTTTTAAAATTTCTCTCAGTAGCAATATAGTTTTTTTCTTTCTCTTTTCACAGGATGAATTAAAATTAGAGTATGAAAGATACATGACTCAAGTTGTTTCCTTGCTGGAAACAGATCCTGAGTTTAAGAAGAAAGTTGAAGCTGTGAATGATAAAGATGTTCAGGTAATATCCTCCAGAATTCTTTCGACGATATGTCTGTCGTTCCTTTGTTCAGGAAGTTTATGGCCAACCAGCCTCTCTGGACCAAGTATATACGAGTTCCTCTCATTTCTTGAATTACTAAATAAAAGTGCATTGTACAAAAGCATTTTAAACCATTGCCATTTGTTGACAAAACATTTTGCCCTCTGAACAGGAGCAACCATGACATGCGGATTTGCCCCCTCAATTGGACACTTTGTTTCCATTTATGTAGATAAATAGAGCTACTTGAATTGACAAAATGCCTAAATTTACCTCAAATTCTTCTTGTAAAAGTGTGTTCTGCTTGCATTTGGAAGACTTCTCCACTCTAATTAATAGTCAGAAGTCTCAGAAGGAACCATTTTGAGCCCTCATACATCTCAACTCAGCCCATAACAGACATTTTTGCTTGAAAGCACAGTAATTTTAGAGTGTAGCAAAAACATTAAACATAAATCCAAGTATTACTACCGGTTTGCCTCAGCTTTGGAAGTCGAGTAGAATCCAAGCCATGCTTTTTTCAGTGGAAGTCAGTTTGTCAATATTCAGGCAAAATTGTAACTTTAAGACAGCTATAGATGGCAGGATTGTTCCAAAATTTGAACAAAAAAAATGTTTTCATGCCTCTATTGCATGGTTAAACACAGAACTGAAAAATATAACATAATATTGGGTCTAATATTAGTGGCTCACCTAATATATTGATAATTTCAAGGCATATTAATCACGCAACCCTTTTAACTAACTTTCTTTTTCTCCTTTCAGTCAGGAGCCATCGCCAAAGAGCTTGAATATGTTGACCACAATATTCGAACAAAATTAGACGAACTCAAACGAGCTGAAATTGAAAGGTTGCGACAACTTGCTCATAAAGCATATGTTCAAAGTAACGGAAGTGAAGTTCACAAATTACCAGAACATTTAGACCATGCAAATCCTCATAGTTTTGAAGTTGCTGATTTACAAGCTCTGATCTTCAAGGTAATTTCAAATGTCATTTTCATGCCAGGTGGGAAAAGTTCTCGGTTGCGGTTTCCTAGAATCTCTGACCCTATTTCATATTTCTGAGGAGATTCTGATGGGTGGATTTTTTGGAATTTTTTCTACAGGACATTTTACAATCGTGAAAAATATTAGTGAAACGTCATTAAAATGTACGCGTCCACTTCCCTCACAATGAATGAAGCACTAGCGGAGACCTTGAAACTCCGAAATCAAGAAGAGCCCGCCATGCACCCAGGGCATCAACTATTATTCCCGCATCTTTCGTCAAAATCAGATTTGCTCCCACTGCTGGGAAAGAGGTTCTACAGAACAAATCTAATTATTGCACCTCTCTATTGCTAAAAAAAAAAAAAAAATCAATAAAGCAATTGTGTGTAATGCACTTAAAACTTTTAGTTGTCTTAGAAATATGTTTCTGTTAGTCAGCAGCAAAATTCAATTATCTGTTGCTTATATCCACTGCCGTTTCAATTATTACTCCTGAAAAAATTTTATTGCACTTTGAAGTATCTTGGATGTCAAGTGAATCTTCTTATAAATAGCAAATGCGTATTTTTCGATCCCTAAAAGTGTGGACTACAAGACTAAATATATAGACAAAATAAATTTCAAGCAAAACTTTGGATAGCAAGAGCATCTTTTGTAGATTAGTAAGCTTGTGTTTTTGGACCGTGTGCTCAGAGTAAGAGACGTAATAACTGACAGGCGGTAACGATGCCACCTAAATTTGACATTTTGTAATTAAATTGAATGTTCAAAGCATCTTATGGTAAATGGCAGGCGCAATAACCTTCTAACTAGGTGATGTAAATAGACAAAATTATCGGTCAAACCGTAGGATGATGGGTCTAGTTTCTCGTCGCAGGCTTCCAGGATGAAAGTGTAAATATAGTGCACACAATATATGGAAGCAAAGTACAACTTCAGTGATAGATTTCAATCCTTTTTAATTTGAAATTATCTATCAAAACTTTCAGCAGTCTTCATGTTGAAGTTATTAGCTCCGCTCTCCTGGAACTGAAGATTAAATTGTTATTTTATTTAAATATTTTTTCAGGCCTCCAAGGACTTGAGCGAAATTGACCAAAAAAGGAAAGAAATGTTCAAGGAGTATGAAATGAAGAAAGAACTGGAAGAGAAAGAAAAATTACAGAAAATGTCAGAAGAAGAGAGGAAGAAGTTTTTAGAGGAGCAGAAGTTAGAAGATAAAAAACACCATGAATTAAACAAAGTAAGCAGGTTTTTACTTATCAAATGTTGGAAAATTTTTTGTTCATGTATTTTAGCAATTTTTTTACACTTTAATTGGAAATGTTAGCCGCTAAAAAATAAAACTGAGGTTTAAAAACCCTGCTCGGAGAAATTTTTGAATTGATAACACGCTAGGTATAATAAAGTAAATAATATTCAAGATAATTTGACGTTCTTGATTCTAAAAATGTAGCTTTAAGGCTAAGCAGTTTAGAGGTTTTAAGTATTTACCATACTCAGGCTCAAAATTATTAAATGAACCTTATGTCCTCTCCTGCCGATTATTGCTGCCTGATTATTGAAAGTTTAAAGTAGCCTAATTGGACCTTCCAATTTTTTGCAAGGGTAAGATATAGGGCTAAGTATGTCTAGCTTTATGGTGCCTCCATAGTTCCAATAATAGGGCCGCTGACACAAAAATAAACTGAAATGTTCACAATGGTTTTTTTTTTTATAGATTAGAAAGTGTCTTCTATGAAAACTCAAATTTCAATGTTTCAACCCAACCTTTTAAGAATTGTCGCAATAAAACATTTTTGTTTTTGCTTTGAAGAACTTGTTTCTTTTGACAATCACATCTTTCTATTTCATTATTGATTTTTAACTTGTTTTGTCCATTTTTCATTTTTCCAGCAAATTCATCATCCAGGAAGTCAAAAGCAGTTGGAAGATGTTTGGGAACAACAGGATCATATGCAGAAGGAAAATTTCAACCCACGAACATTCTTCATGATGCATGGTGAGCATACATTTCTAAATTGTTCTTCAAATTTCTTTCAATTATAAGTTTTTAAAGCGTTTTCCAAACTTTCCAACTTATTCCCAAGTTTTACTTAACCCCTTAATCTTTGTCATTTTTCAAAAAATGTCATGTTTAATCATTTCATAGAAGAGGGTAAAACTAATTTGAATTTTGTATATTTTAGTCAATGACAAATGTTCATCGTTAACTGGCCGATGTTGAACATGACTAAGAGTTTTGGCCGTTGATGTCACCGAATTGTTCAACGATGTCTGTGAACGGCAGTTTTGGGAAGTGTCGCTTGAAGCATCATTTGGCCAGCCTTACATGTCATAGGCCTGTCGATGTCCATTGGCCAAGCAATGAATAAGTGTATAGTATACAAGATGAAGCAGAGAGAGAAGGAGAAGTATTTAAAATTTGGTTATGTTCGCCATAAGATTGAAGTGCTAAGTGCACCTTTAAATATCTTTGTTTGGAAGTTGTAGAATTTTAAAAATTTCAACGCGAATATTGGCAACACTGCTGTGAGGACAAGAATTGGTTTTAAACGTTAAAATATTAAGGAAAAGTTTATTGCGCACTCAGAAACATCCAACTGGGAATCATTGAAACCCAGGAGGTGGGAATCTTGCGGATTTAGAATACACCCTTTATTTTTGCAAAACATCAACTTTTCATACATTTTCTATTTTGTTTTAGATTTAAATGGAGACATGTTTTGGGATGAAGAGGAGGTTAAAGTCTTATTCTTAAGAGAAGTGGAGAAAATTCATCAGGGTGAATCAAATCCAGATGCCATCGTTAAAAATGAAGATTTAGAAAGGATGAGAGAGCACTATTATAATGAAGTCGACAAAAATAAAGACAGACTCATCAGGTAACTTTAATTCAAAGAGTATGCATTATGTCTTTTTATTTAAGTGATCATTACATGCTTAACATAGTTAACCGGAAATTGGATACATTTTTTTTTAATAGGCATATATTTCTGTTGGCTCTTTAGTGACACTGAAACATCCCCTAATAAAATAATTTTTGTACCTTCTGAATGTATTCTGAGGATGGTCTCTAAAAATCAAATGCCCAATTTTTAGTGCTTGCCAGGTTTGTCAAAAATATTGATGAAAACTGCTGCAATTTTCATCAGTTACAGGACTGTTAGAACACATCGATGTTGAAACTCCCGTACTAAGTTTCTCGGTTTGCAATATTTCAGACTTCCTATCATGTTTTGTTATTGAAATGGAGAACTATTCAACGTCAATTCTGAAAAACTTCCATGATTCCTCTTCTCTGTGCAAAGTAGATTCTGAAGAAGCTTCGAAAAATAAAGCTGATTTGTTCTCCTTTTAAAAATAAAATGGTAGCAGAGATTTTTAAATTCTGCAAACGAGATACATAGTTTGGGAGTCTCATTGTGGATGTGCAAAATTGCTATGGCAAGCAACTTGTTAACCCCAGCAACATGAATGAAGTATGACTCAAAACATCCTTTTACAGAATTGGATTCTTAAATACACATTAAGTGGTGCCATAGCAGCAGTACCTGAAACTCAGTCAAAAGGGTTAAAACTTATATTTGATCAAGCTCTTGTTTTTTATTTCAGCTTGGAAGAGTTCATAGCCTCTACACAACAAGCTGAATTTCGTCAGGATGACGGTTGGAAGCCAGTGAATGAACAGCAAGTTTACTCGCAAGAAGAACTCCGTCAATTTGAAATGCAGCAACACCACATCAATCAGCTCATCGCAGAGGGCAAGGTAAGCATGATGTTTGATTTTCTTTTTCTAATGCAATATCTTGAAGCTTGGGAATTGTCAATTGACTTCCATGATATGAGCCTAGGATGTCACAGAATTAGAAGATCAGGTAATGTCAGATGATTTTACAAGAATGTTTTCAATCGAACATCAGTCAAACATCACTAGTAAGGCATCATTCAAAACATGTCGACGTTGAAACTCTCAAACCATGTATCTTGGTTTGCAATGTTGCAAACTTCTTGTCATGTTTTATTTTTAAACAGAAAATGACTTAATGTCAAAACTTTCATGACTTTTCTTCTCCAAGCAAGAAAAACTTTGAAAAAACTTTAAGGAATAGTGTTGATTTGCTCCCATATAAAGAAAATAAAATCAGAGCGGAGATTTTAAAACTCCTCAAACGAGGTATGTGGTTTAGGCGTCTCACTGTGAATGTGCTCTTGATGAAACGATGGTCATGGTAATCATATTTTCTATTGTCCATTTTCAATCATTCTCATTCTGATTTTTTTGTTGCTGCTTTCAGCTTCCACCAAGTGCTGCGTACCAATACCACGGACTGCCGCCTCAACCTCCTCATGGCTATCACTATGATGTAAGTATGCATCTAATTTAAACAAACATCTCATAACAAATTCGTCAGGAGTGGCCATTAATTCCTTTCAATTTAAAATGTCTGAGACTTTTTTCCAAATTTTCCAAACTTTTTTCCAAAACTTGTCGGCCTCCTGTGGTGTAGTGGTTGTAGCGCTGGCTCTACAATCAGGAGGTCCCGGGTTCGATTCCCGGCTAGGCGACCCGAGTTTGATGGTCTCAAACAACGGTTGCCTTGGGCTGGTACATGGTAGGGACAAAGGGGGAGGGGCTCTTACTGGAAGCGCAAGGATTACTACTCGTGTGGTATTTGAAGTAGTAAAAAAAAAAAAAAAAAAAAAAAAAAAAAAAATTCGAAGGTTGTAAGAGGTCAACAAGTCCAAGGATTTCCAATGTAGTTGACATGCAAAGAATTTAGGATCAAGGGATCTTGGATCACAGATCACATTAGGGGAATAGAGTGGTTACGAAGCCACAACTTTCGAACTGAAATAACTGGTATAACCGTTCTATAAACATCATAATCCTATCTTTTATAATAAGGAATTGTCCTTTTGTGATCGAGGAGGTTTTGTAAAAAAGGGCCATAATAGTTTGAATGTGCTTGTTTTGCTGAGCGGCTGACACCTGGACAAGCAACAGCACATTAGACTATTGCTATCTGCTCGTCTAGTTGAGGTTGAATCAGAGAAACATACTCATTCATCTTTTTTGGGCCTCTCTTGGAACACCTCTGCAATGTAAATCAATCCCTGCATGAATCAGCCAAGAAACGGCGAATCAAAATTGCTAGTTTAAATGGTAAGAATGGAGAGTTTTTTCTTCCTCTAAAATTTTGGCTCATCTCTATTGAGGTATAAAATTTTCTCTTCTCTCCTATTTTTCGTCGTTATTGAGATATTTTTTCTTTTTTCTGCCTGATAAGTTAGCACTAATGCTTTTGTTTTCTTTGTTTTAGCCTAATGCAGTTCCATACAATCAACCACAGTACCAGGCTCCTCAATATCACGGCGCACAATACCAAGCAGTGCATCCTGCACAATACCAAGCTGCTCCACCTCAACAATTCCAAGGAGCTGGTGGCCATCACGCACAGTATCCAGCAGGAGCACATGTACCCCAGCATCAGGCGCCGCAAGCTGCGGTCCATATGCAGCCTGGAGTCGGAGCTCATCCGCAACAATATCAAGCTGCAGCTCACGCACAGCCACAACAATACCAAGCTGCGGCTCAGGCACAACCTGGAGCTCATCCACAACAATATCAAGCTGCTGCTCAGGCACAACCTGTAGCTCATCCGCAACAATATCAAGCTGCGGCTCAGACGCAGCCTGTAGCTGGGGCTCATAATCAGCAATATCAAGCTCAACCTCAGTATCAAGCTGCAGGTCAACAACAATATCATCAACCAGCAGCCCAGAATCAGCAAGTACCTGCATCCCAGAACATGGGAAGCCAAGGTTACCAAGTCCACCAGACGGCCAGTGATCCCAAACCAGCGGTTAGTCAAAACCAGCACTTAGCCAATGATATTCCGAATCAACCACAACAGCAACAGTCTTTAGGTGATAACACTCTGTCGCAAGGAGGTGTTGCAGCCAACAACATCCAGGATGGAGGTTACAAGGCGCAAAACGCGTATCAAACAGGAAATCAAATCCACGGGGACCAAATGAAGGCCAAGTCTGCCCATGACAGCATGAAGAATCATGTCTAATCCAACCCAAGTGCCATGTCGTGATCAAATACTTTCTGATTGTAACAAGTTTCCTTAAGTGAAATATTTGTGCTAATCGGTGAGTACCTGAACTCACCCGTTTTTTTAAAACTGCATCAATTTTTTTTTGTTTTTTTTTCCAAACAAATATGTTTTGTATTTTTGTTTTTGTTTTCCCCTCATTGAAGTTAGTTATTGAGTTTTACAAAGTACATTCAATGCAACTATAAATGCAACTGGTATCTTGATCCGTGACTTCAGATGGTCAAGCTTCCAAGTTTCAATTTTTCTTGCACTGCCACTTTCCATAACTTCATTTAATTTTACTTGTGCGAAAACCATGAAACTTCTAAATTTTTACTGTGAAACAAACAGATCACTTTTTCATTATTGTTTGCAGAATCGGTGAATTTGGTTTTGGCTAGTTTCTTTGACTACAAAGCCTCTGATTTGCCATTACTTTGAACGACTGATACTTGTGAGTCCATTCAAACTATTTAAATTATTCTTACACCGAAAGACAGGTGAAATTAGAATGTCTCCGCGATTCAGAACTAACTTTTCAAATTAATGTCTTCCTTAGTAGATTTTTTGTGGGACATATCACCTTAGTCGCATGACTCATCAGAAAAATGTTGACCATTCTATTCACAGCAAACGCAAGTAAAACAGTTTATTTTTTTGTGTTTTGTATATATTAATTGAGCTCAATAATATTGATGTATTTTCAGGGGGATTTTAATTGAATCCTCCGAAAGAACAAATCTATTGAATCGTGCACTGCAATGTCAAATGTTTTTAGCTCTTGCCACTCAACAAGACCTCAGTGAATGTGGTTCCATTGAGTCTCTCTGTACTTTTTCATCTCTCCTATTTTTATTGTTGTCTATGGGACAACCATCATTTTTTTATTTATTTTTTTTACATACTGTATCATTAGTTTTTTATGATGCATTTATCTTTCTCCAATTCTCTCTTTTTTGTCGTAAGAGAAATTGCTTAGTTTGTTGAGGGAGAAGCAGAATTAGCCGAAAACAGTTATTCTTTGTAAGGCTAATTTTGCTACTATCATTAACTAATTAGCCGACTGTCATTATTTCAGGCTAATCTTTGAGAATGGCTTTTTCTTATCGTAGAAATATTCTCAATCCACCCAGTATTTTTTTTTATCTGTGTGAAAGAGTAGGCACTCCCCAGAAAAGTGCTCAAAGAAACTTTGAGGAAAATTATGAACTCATTTTCATGAAAATTTTAGCATTTAATGCATTTCATAAATCCCCCCCCTCCCCCTTAAATTCTCATTATCTACGTATCAATTTTGCTCAAAACCCCGTTGGTAACTTTTAAATTTTTAAATCTTTGTTCCTGCTTTGAACATTAATTTTTTATTACTATACATTTGTAACAAAATCACTCTTCTGTGGTTACCTATCTTTTATCTAGGTACCTATTCGATTGTATTTTTTCTTCAAAGCAAATTAATGCAAAGGAAAAATTATTCTCTTTGAATATAGTATATTTTTTGAGCAGATGAAGATTTCTGTTTTTCTCAGAGTTATGCTCACAGTTGTCTTATATTGATCGATTTAATGTTAATTTTCATCAATACTCATGGTTATTTTTTATTCCTAATCCATATTGCAATGATACACCCACTCATTGACAAAAGACAATTCTCATCGTTTGTCAGTCCTACCAATGATTTGTAGATCAATTTAATGGAATTATTGTGGAATCACATTGAATAATACATGTGATTGAATTATGATGAGCTCGCTGATAGGAGATTGATCAAATAAACTTATCCCAAGAACAACTTGTTCTTAAAATGACATAAATACGAAAGTAACGAATGAGTATCCAGTCCAGACCATACCCTCAACTCAGATTGTGATTTGATATACTTGAGTGAAGCAAGCATAATCATACAGAATCCCTGTTAAAAACCGAATAGCATTCGGTTAAAACACTCAATGGGGCAAGTTTTTTTGCCTTGATTTGTTACTTTGTATCAATGGCATGTGCAAGTTAATTTCCCTGCTAAACTCAATCAATAGTGCTCTCTTACATTATTATCTTTAGTGTTTTGTTCTAGCTTCTAGTTTTTATATCTATTTATCGGTCTAAAATGTTAGGCCAGGAATACAGAAGTTTATACTAATGGTGTGCATTAACTTTGACCTAAAAGTTATGAGTTGGTCTCAGGTATAGTTAAACAATAAATCCTACAAGGCCAAAATATTTCCATGATCATGAAGAGGGTTTACTCCTAAGTGATGAAAACATTTTCATTTGGACCGAGTTCATCAGGAAGGAATCAACCTACATTAAGTTGAAACTGAGAAAAAGATGTTCGAAGTTTTATTTCTGCATAAAGCTCAATATAGAAAATAAACTTTGGTTCTTTTCTGATAAACACAGCCCATTTATTGAAAAATGCCCGAGTGTCGCATAGTCTTCAAAGTGTTTTAAAATGCCATTTCATGACTATTTTCGCATTTCTAATGACTAGTTCAATTTTTCGCTCGTATCTTTTCAAGGCGTGAGCAATAGACAATTTTCTTGCAGTAATTTTTCTCTGGTGCCTGAAAAATTACCAATTCACACTTGATTAGCTAACTTTGATTAGTCGTTCCAAACGTAAGAGAAACAAAGGGTTTCATTTCTAAAGTCGTCCAAGCTAACCGAGCCCATGAACACAGGTTAAATTTTTCAACGTTATATTTTGATGAGCCTGTTGCAAGTTCTGAAAAGTTTTATCAGCTGTCTGGTATGTGATACCTCTAAGACTTTTGTTTTCATCTTTAGAGTTAATTCCAAGCTAAAATTGAATAAATTGTTGCTAAAAAGAACTAAGTCTTGTCAATTAAATCAAAAGAAACTTTGAAATATGCAAATTCTGAGCAAATCTTTCCTTTTGATTCAACTAAATCACACTTAATTCTTCCTTTTAAATTAAATGTGCCCAATTTATTTTTGAGAATCCAAAATACCAGGTTTTCTTTTTGTAAAGGAAAAATAGAAATTGACCATAAGTCCATTTTTATTGCCTTGACAATTCTTCAACCAGTAATTTAAGACCTTCCCTTATGGGCAGTAAAGATACCTGATTGCGGACATCTTAATTTATTGTAAACTTAGTCATAAGTTGCTTTCGTAACCAGCATTTCAGAAGGGTAGATATTGCAGAATTTTTTGCCATTTTTTTGAAGGCTGGTGAAAATTATTGAAGATTTCTGCGACAGGAAGTCTTTCAATAAATTCAATCTATGAAAAGTAATTTGCAACAGACCCTTTCAATAATGAACTTAGATTCTACTCTCATGAAAGGAAGCACTTATTGTGAGTCCTAAGACATTTCAGTTGCATTTATCCAGTTGTGTTTTATTTGATGTTATTATCAATTTTATTTTAAGTTTTTGATTCATAAAAATATTTACCGTTGCAAACATTATTAAATCTTATGTTGACGTCTTAGGTCTTGTTGTGAATGAACTGTGATAGGTAAATTTAATCCTCTTTTTTAATGAAAAATAAATTCATCTAAAAAGCTTTAGTGAACTTATTTCTCTTTTTGCCTTCTGATGCAATAATGAGTCAGTTGCGCTAGTCGCGGAAATGTGTTTTGATGATGTCAGATTATAAATCGGGGAAAAATTGTGAGATCTGTCCAAACGAGTTTACTTGTCCAATATCAAAAGAGATGATGTCACCCTTCAAAAAACACAGCGTATGCTGTCATCTACCGCAGTGGAGCAAACCATGGTTTCTTCCACCTTGGTTGATGAATCAAATACAGAAGAAACCATGGTATGTACTGCTGCATTGGATGACAGCATACACCGTGTTTTTCGAAGAGAATATCTCCATTAACATCGGTTATAGAAACTAGACGTTAGGACAGGTCTTATTATTTTTTGTCAATCAAGAAAGAAGTTAAATCCATTAAACACGATTCTGTGACTAACTCATCAGACCAATTCCCAAACCAACAGCAACGTTCAAAATTACACTTCAAATATGATGAAACGATTTTTTCAGGTGTTGCTTCTATGCCAATATTCAACTCACTTGATGTGAAAGAGGGTCTCATGAGATAGGAAAGTAAACACAAACGCTCCAATATAGAAAAAATACATATAAATTGTTATATTTAAAATTAATTTCATGATACATCACAAAAATGAATAAGGCACAGGTGCTTTACATGGCAAATAACAAAGGTACCTCACTTCAAGTAACACAAAATTATGAAATCTAACTGACATGAGAGGATAATACTGTGAACAAGATGAGTTTCTGATCCTAAGACTCTCCAAGAAGCTATCTTTGAGGTTGAGTTCAATTTTGTCAGAAACTGAAGATGGAAAATCTATCAGTGAATTCATCGATATGCATTCGATTAAATAATGGTCAGCCTATTAGGCTGAACTTGGTAATTCTATTAGAGAGCATAAGTTGGTCAAAGAAAAAGACTTTCGTTAGCAAAAATTCTTTTGCAGGCCTGGAAAAAGCGAACAGTTTTGTATGCCATAGAAAGACATTTTTACTGTTGAATTGTATTGATGCGCAACAAAAGATTAGCTTCATCTGAACCCTGGTTCTTTTGAGTTGTAATATCAGATACACCTCCCTAAGAGAATGATAAAAGAGGTAATCAATGGACAATATCTCCACTAATATAAGACTTAAACTTGGTATACTGACAGATTCTAATGGTGAAAGTTGATCATTACTGAGTACTTCTGTCAACAGCAAAACTGCCCCCTGACTAATTAAATTAAGATATCAACTCATTTATGGGACACAATACTATCAAGGTTTCCAGGACTAAAAAAAATGGTGAAGAAGCAAAGGAGAGTCAAAGTAAATACCTTTTCTTAATATGTAGTAACATTTCATTTCAATGTTATTCAGTCTCAAATTGTTAAAATGTTTTCAATAAACATCGACGGAGTGCAAAATTAAAATGGAGTATAAAAAAATAGAATAGAGACGCATAAATGAATATTCCCTATCATTATTGTCTCCTGTGAGAAAAAAAAGGTAGAGAGATTTATCATAATCTACATGACAATATAATCTCAGCTTTTGCGTCTTACAGAGCTCGGTCTAATTTACTTAATTTAAGTATTGAAACATTAGAAATTCACTGTCTGTAAGGAACATTCGGTTGCTTTAACGATAATTTCAGGTATTGAAAAAAAGAGAACTGTACAAAAATACTGACTGCTTACACTCTAAAATAAATGAGAGGTTTCAAAAGCTTTAGACAATTTCATAATTGAAGACTTGACAGAAACACACATACAGGCTTACCCTCTCACACATAACATACAGACACAGAGGAGGAAAAAGTTAATTGAGTCAATCATCTAAGAGGAGATAGTCAAATTGGATGGTTATCTCTCTCATCGAGATAATATGAAAATTAGAGGTAGAGGCACAGTTTTTCAAATGATCTGCTATCAGAGGGAAAAGGTGTAAGCAAAATGAGAACAATTTTTTCAAAATCCCCTTCTTGAAAGTAGATAGAGTGGGTGCTTTTAAAATTGAAAACATTGCTTTGATGGATAATACCTCCTCTTTTCCCATAGTTTCAGGCCCCTCTCAATCTTTCCGTTTTTGTATTTCAGGCCCCGCCATGAAACCTGAGCTTGATTTGTGTTGCTCATGACCTTTTTAAGTACTGTCCTTTCAGTTTAACTTCAAACTTAAATCTTCTATTTCCACTGAATTCAATGAAGAGGTGTCATTGTCTCAATAGATTAAATAGTAACAAGATTCAAAAACAGAGGGAGATTTTTTTTGAAAGTTATAAACGTCCTTATTCAGAACAGAGGCTTAAATTATGTGAAAAGTAAAATGGCACTGCAAAACATGAATGTTTTAGAGGGATGTGCAAAATTCGCAACTGCTTTGCACAGCAAAAAGTAAAGTCTCACTAACACTTGTATTTAAAAAGACATTATGGCAACAAAGGAAGGACTCGAGTACAACGTACAGCACTGTATCTGCTTTTGCGGGCCGTTACCTCAGTCCGGCCAGAAAGTTCGTCAGATGACGGAGAGAATGACAACGAAAAAAGGTGCGATGATGAAAAAAGAATCGCGGAAAGTGACAATTCAACCGAAAATTGTGGAGATTTCGGCCTCCAAGGAGGCCGAATTTATCCCTATCATCTTACAAATTTTGTTAATACTTACTTTGCATAATTCTCATGATATGCTTTGATTTTTCAGTCTCCAGTTGTTCATAATATTTGTTCCTTTTTGATTCAAACAATATGATAAAAAAAGAGAAACATTTTTGGGGAGTTATCTCCAGTCAAGATTGACCTCCTGTAAAGGGAGATTTAGAATGTTGACACCAGAAAATAATTTTTCATTTCAGTTGGCAATAATTCTTCATCAAAAGATTGAGCACTCCTGGAGCAGAAAACAAGAAATAAAAATTAATTATGTGTGTACAGTAAAGTACATGTTACTATATTGATTATTACATTGACTAAAATTTACAACACCATTGGAAACTAAATTCTGATCTCCACTCAAAACTTTGTATGCATGTTATGAACAGTCATTCTACCAAACGGATGTTTCCTAAATACCAACTTATTTTACCCTGCAGGCTAAGCAACTTGGTGCCCTAAAAAGGCTCTTAGCATAGGGCTGTTCTATCGGTTGTCGGTAAGCTACCGAAACAGTTCCGTTAAGAAACAGTTACGATAAGAGCGCTCTTGCCGATAGTGATCAGAGTTTTCGGAGCTGGCGAAAATAAGCTGTTGCCATTTGAACATCTATTTTACGCGCCGCCGCGCTGGGCACACCGACACACAGGGCAACAATGCATTGAGTGCGAGCTCTCAAAAATCTGATAAGGCTGGCTGTTGTCGATATCATCGCCACTGTCGGCACTGCCGCCAGTTTCAATAAGAGACGATATCGATAGCGTTCCGGCAAGAATTCGTTTGAACACCCCTATCTTAGCGATCAAAAGTTACAATAAATTGTGAAGAGCACAAAACTAAAACATATGCCCTCAAAAGCTCATAGCATGAAGATACATTTTTTCGCAAAACTGCATGAGTTTATTAGTTTTGTAATGGGGGCTAAAAACACTATCACCAAAATTCTTACACAAGGGTGGGGAGATAGTTTCTAAGATCAAAATCACAAAAACGGCTGATTTTCTTGTATCAATCATCTACAGATTATTATTGAAAATAAGAGACATTTTTCTTTCAAAAATTTGTATATCTTTTTTTTTCAAAATCTTTCATCCAACAGTTATGGAAACTTAAAAGATAGAAAAAAATCAAGTGAGAGGGAAAAGACTTCAGAACTTTCTGGAAGTTTGTCTCCTGACTTTTTTTGCTCAGGGACGCAGAAAAAAGCCTGATCTATGAATCCATAGGTCAAGACTAATGAGACTAGATACTTAGGAACATAGAAAAAGTGAAATTTATACGAAAAGGAAAGTAAAGTATGCTAAAGTCATGTATTAAGGTAGAAAAAAGAAAATTTGGTGGTTATTAGGTGGCATAAAAACTTAGGGCAGTACCATGAGGTCTTCGGGAAAAAACGCCACATCACAAGACAGTCAGTACCACTAATTGCGATTTTTTTACTCTATGGACATCCTGTTTACATTGAGATGCAACTTTTAAAAAGTAGCTTACCTTGCATATTTCAGGAAACAGTCAGTTAGTAGTCTAAAGTTTCTCCAAAGTCCAATTTGTTCTCTTCATAGCCTGTGATTTTAGTAATGGGACAACTTTCACATCTGTAAGTAAAGGGAGAAAAAATTCAATGATTAAGATGGAATTACTTGGAATCTAACGCTCCATGGGTGTACAATGAGGTTTCACCCAAATTCAAACTCAACCTTTGAACGACTCTGAGAGATATCCTTGAAGAATTAGAATAAGTTACAAAGATTCTATGAGAAGTTGGAGTGTCTACAAAAAATGCGCCGACAGAGACTGACTGACTACTATATTGGGGAGAAGATATTATTACACGAAATTTGAACAGATAAATCAAACTTGAGTACGACTTCCTTGCATTAAATTTAGAGAAAGACATTATAGACGGTAGAGTAACTTTTTAATAGTTTGTACATAGGCTGCCTTAAAACTTCTGTCAATGGATCTGTTTAGAGAAAACTATGCTAGATATAGAAAAATGGTTTGTAAGAGATTCTACTCCACATCCATGGCTTTAATACGAGACCTTGTTGAGCTCATTTGGTAAAGAATTCACCGAGTTAGAGCATTTTACGAGAGCATATAAAATAAAACCCTCCAGGATTTCTATCTTTCTAATGTGTGTCAGATTCCATTGCTAGGATAGACATGGAAACGGCAACTTCACTGCAGAAAAGAAATGAGAGAAGAGAAATATACTGGGACTAAAATGATAAGTCTTACCTGTTTTCATTGATGCCATAATTAGGGCAGTTTTCACCGATACATTCACAACAGCCATCATGAAACCATCTATAACTGGCAGCACCCATCGACTGACAGGATACTCTGCACTTGTGCCATGACATGCACTGGGACTTAAAAACAACAGTGCAGTTTTGAGTGATTAAACCTCCCTCAATCTTTGATTTTTCTTCCTCTTCTGAGTCTGCAAAAAGAAGTAAAATTATTCCCTCATGATAATTTGACAATTGAAACAAAAAACAGCAATCCAATCTCCCCCCCCCCCC